TCGATACAATGCTCTCGAGAATGAATGGGACCTGTTTGAGGAATTTGCACTGGAAGTCAAGTCGAAGAATGGTCAGGATTATGCGGGCTATGAGCATTCAGACAGTGAGGATGATGGCTTTGATCCTTTTGAAGGCTACGAGCACCTTTATGTCAGTGAAGACCAGAACGTCTCACCAACCTCTCCAGACGGAATCCCCCCCTCTGGTGCCTCTCCTGGTGCCTCCCCCACCTCTCCTGAACCTGATGAAGTAGCAGTACCCATGGATGCTGAAACCAACCTCCTGGTTTCCCTCCGCCTTATGTACGGATTCAACCCATCCCCTACTGCTCAAACACCCCACCCTCAAGCACCCAACCTCCGGAGTTGGTCAGATGTCCTGGGTGTCATCGGGACAAAATCAGAACCTGATGTCTCAGACCGAGACAAGGTTCTAATTCGCGAGTTCATTTCATGCCTCATCGACAGCTCTTCGGGATTGCCAGCACCCTCCGACGACCTCAACGCAACATCGGATCAGCCTTTGGCAACATCCTTTGCGCTCGACACTGTGGAACACATCAGTGAGGACCTATACGTGTTCAAGCTACCTCCTTCCCCCTCTTGCAAATGGGTCATCGGTGTTGATCGCCCCACGACTGTTCTTTACATCTGTCGACTGGTCGCCTCCGCTCCGAACACGCATACGGTGCTGACAATCGCCTACCACCTACTTGAGCACCACATACCCTTCCGCACCCTCCTTCTGCAGGCCTCCTCGGAGCCCGAACAGCTCAATCTCCCATACGCAGACAACGCCAACCGTTTTAACAAGCACCAATTCACGACAGCAGACTTCGACAGTGCTATGCTCGAGTGCCGCGTGCTGCTGGGCCGCCTGCAAGGGCGAGCTGCAATACTTCGCGGTGGCATTGTAGGGAGGATTGCAAGGGAATTCGGTAGTAAGGAGTCTGGGTTGCAAGGACCGTCCATCGAGGTCACAGTGCATCATTCGGGGTACTTTGTCCCGTCTAAACACGACGGGTATTTCTACTGGGATGACGACCTCACTGGTGAGGAGATTGCATGTTTGTGTGGGACATACTGCCTCTATACAGGTAAGGTCTGTCTTCCGTGAGTGTCTTCAATAGTGAATTGATTCCTCATATACAGGGCGTGGCGAGCAGACAACAACGGTCTCGTGGTTCCCTCCTCCGGACGTTTGGGACAAGCAGGGTTATGGCTGGCCAGGATGGACAGAAACTAACGAGGAGTTTTTCCAGCAGTGGATAGCAGACATTCGCAAGGGCAATGCCAAACCCCTGTCGCGTCAAAACTGGTGGCGCAAGGTTCATAGCATCAAGAACACGAGGTCGATGCTTAAGAACAACAGGGAACGGGCAAAGGCATACGTCGAGTTGAACATTCATGCTATGTAGCTTTCATCTTGATTTCTTGGACACTGACATGTATTTTTTTTTGGTGCATACACAATAATGACAAGGGTTTTTTTTCCAGTTACATTGTAAGGACTATGCTACATGCTGTGATTACAGGAGGTACCTATGACCTGGTTGTAGTGGTGGCGGCATTGATTTGACTCGAGTGAACCTATTTCACGGCAGACACCCTTCTATGAGGAGGACACGCGATCGCGTCAAAGGTAACTCTCATGATATTCAAAATTTCTTCATATAAAGCATGTGCCGGCGACATAGTACCAAATAGATTATGTGATTCGAGCCCTTACATGGTCACTATATGTGAATTGTCTGACTAGTGGATGAGACGAGACCCACAGGATAGACCTACTACTACATGGCTGCAACATCTAAACGCCTGCTAACTAGCTGAGCCAACATCAAATATTTTAGCCATGAAGGAGCTGGTTTGGTATCTGGCAGATGGGTGGAACAAGATGCCCAGGATAGTCCAGCTGCTTCATGGATATTACATGTTGACATGTGCCAGCCAGCTGAGTTAACATTAAATATTTCAGCTGCGATGGAGCTGTTTCCTGATCTGACAGGTGGATGGGATAAGATCTTCGGCATGCTCTTCCTACTACATAGTTGTCATGTCTGAACATGTGCCAACCAGCTAACCTAACATCAAACCTTTCAGCTGCTATATAGCTGACTCCGTATCTAACCCATGTGCGTCGACGTATGCGTCCAATGAAATTAGAAAACGTGACTACGAGATATCATACATTTGGCAGTGTACAGTTCCTTTTCCAGCACGCACAACGCGATTATTCGGTAACATCGCAAGAGGACCGTTATACTCCTTCGACTCCATCGTATGAACGCGAAGAGCTTGGACGAACTTCCCCCCTTCGGCAGGTTCAGTCCACTTGTAGGACTTGATCCTCGACCAGTCCGCAACGAACATCAGCTTCTTCTCATCGTCGAGTATGAGTTGGTCAAGCCCAGAGAAAAGATCAACTTCGATGCAATGAGACTTCATGAATTCGCCAAGATCATCGTGTTCGTGGTTCGGAAGGTAGTAGTACAAGTACGGCGTCCTGTTCTTCCAGCCTCCCATAGAGGAGAGGGCAAGAAGGTTTCCATTGGTTGAGAGGGCCATGTTGATGGGATTGTGGGTATCTCCAGATGATATTTCACATCGTGCCTCGAAAACTGAAGTGGCGCGAGTGTTGGCGCCCGTGGCGGTCCACTCTGGAAGGGACTCTGTGAAGCGAGAACACGGGGTGGACAGAGGGTGCGGTCGCCTGGTCTTTTTCCATGGATCGGCAAAATTTGACCTCGATGTGACCTCTTCGATACTTCTGCCTATAGAGATCATCAGACACATTTGGAACGCGATTTTCTCGAGAACTCACCTGAGCCAAAAACATTTAATAGCTCTCCTAGAAAGGGGCCAAGCTTGCCAATAAACCCATGAGCTGCCAAAAAGTTCTGTTGGTGAACAGGGCTCTTTTGTCGATAAAGAGGATTGACTTACAGAATTTGCCGTGCGCGGATGTGTCCTTTAGCAGGAGGGCGTTTTCATCATCACGAAGGCATGTGGCTCTCGGTGAACAGCCCAAAATTGTCCTGGCGATCGGCCTGTTCGATTAACCTCTCCAGCCCATCGTAGTTGGCAGTCTCGGCCTCCCGCACAATGCCAACAACCTCCTTGAAGATGTTGATCAGCTCCGTCTCAGTTTCCGATGTAGGATCTTCTGGACAGTCATTGATGAAGTCGTCCAACTCGTTACCGAGCTCTTCGAGCCGTTCTTCGTAAGTGAGCTCGCGCTCTGAATCAGGCATCGGACTAGACGACAAGTCGTTGGCAGTTGGGGTGGAGGTTGCGGGACAAAAACAACTGTTTGCTGATCATACACTGCAGTAATCGAATATTGAATGCTAAAATAAGTAGCCCCAAGGAAGCAACATAAGAAACTAGTATATACGTGCGCACCTCTTCAGCAGAGCTCAAACGGTCCAAGGATCATCGTCGCTCGGAACTCCGAATTGATATGTGCAAGGACAACGGCAGAAACTCATCGCATCCCAGCACACCTCAGGCCTTGGCGGCTATATCCAAAGTCCTTAAAGCAACAGCCAAGAGGCGAGTGCCGCAACTGGTGTTACTCTGAAAACTTTGCGGCATTCTTAACCCACCTTTGATTCACGTCTAGCTCATCTCACCTTATATCAGCCCATTGGGCCCTAGGGTATGAACAGGGCTGCAATGGAAAGGGGGAACAGTCCTGGCCATCGACCTCCCTCAGTCACCAAACCCACAGGACCCGTAGCTCCAAACAACAAAATGCACATTCAAGGAGGCTGATTGACGTGAATACGACGCAGTCATGGAAATTCTTGCAAAATGTGGTGCTGTTATCAACCTGGCCGATTATCCCAACCCTGTCGACTAGTCGACAACAACAATGTGTTGCCAATAACTCAAACGTTGGGACAACACTGCATCCAACCTCCCTCTTGAAAGTAATGTAGCCATCTCGTGGAATATCCTTCGTGCCAGCGCGGAATTAGGGATAAATTGTATCGCCCAAGCTTTGTCCGTGAATGTCATCACCACGGTATACAGCAAGCGACCCAACTTTCATTATTTCCCGACAGACGAGGAACACCCATGCGAGCTTGCTGCTTGATGAGCCTTATGGTTTATCCAAAATGTGCGTAGAAGCCAGGCGATTGGCGGAAATGCCTATTGACATGATAGAAAGGACATGCGAACTGCAGGTACCCAGGAACTCGGATCGCGAGTCTTCGTCTTCATTGCTCAATAGCAAACAAATCGATGGCGAGTGGGGGAGACCGTGAAAAGGATTTGTGGGGATATGTTCAGGAAGTTTCTGGCGCTGAAGCTTTCTTATTTGCAATTGCCGACACTGATGAGTGGTCTGGCCATGAAAGATTTTTCATCACGGCTCCCCGAACCGCCGTAGAACAAGAAACAATGCCCCCGACCAAACGTACAATCAAGGAAGGGAGAGCGATTGTTCGAACGCAGGGGTTGTTGGACTGTTCGAAAGCGGAAAAGCTGCTGGACTGGTATCACAACGATAGATTGGCATGACTAGACATGTTACTGTCATAATCATGATTCACGAACAATCTGTATTGCAAACAAACAGATCAGGAAGGATGCAAGAAAGTTTGCAGCTGGACGGAAGTGTTAGCAACGGTGCAGTGACAAGAGAGATTGGGATTCGCACATATTCCTCATAATGGTGAAGGACTTCTCGAAGTTGTTTCCTACTTATTTCGGCACGGTATAGAATTTCATCATCGGATCGTTTTCCATCGAAATATTGGTTGATCCTGGATTGGCCTAAACTTAACAAGTGAACATGCAGATAATGAGATTGGACCCACAGTTCAAATCGTCTCGCAATGTCTGATTCCTTACCATCCGACATTGCAGAAAGCCACCGACGTTGCATTGGCGTGGCTTTACCTGGATCATTAATAATGCCAGGCCACATATGGTCCTCTGTCGTATCCCAACCAGAATCTTCTTCATCGACTTCGGAGTTGCTATCGCTCTCCTCTTCAGCTAACGCAGAGTCTTCTGGAAATTTGAGCTCGCTGATATCACTTCGCCCAGATTCATTTGAAGACACACGTCGGGAGAATGACAATGGAGCACTTGGGCTGTGGCCGGGGAAAAAGCGGTTGATTCTTGCCCTGGTCGGTGGTTGGCCTTCTTCATGATCAGTATTTCTGGAGGACTTCAAACGACTACGACTGAGATGGCCCTTTCCATATTGGCGTGACAGTTTCAGATCTCTTTCACTCTTGACCCGAAGCTTGAGTTCCCGTGTCGCAACAATTCGAACGCGAAGATGCAAGGTGATCAACATATCTCGTTTGAGCATCCATTGAACGACATCGTGGTACATCGGAATGAGTTCCTTCGATTTGACGACAGATGCAAAAAAGTGATTGTCAGTTTGCTTCGACATGGATGTTGAAATGGTCGCCAAAATTCGAGGTAGAGGGGGAACCGAAGGATGCGAAAATGCCTCCTGAAATTGAACGGTCAATTCAGGTAATCTAAGCAAATTGTCAACAAATCCAAAGGCAGAGATGGTAAAACCTACGGTGCGCTGAATTTAGGAGGAAGGGCGAAGACTGTCTTCAATCCAGTATGAACTACATCGACGATTTTTGCTCTTCGATGAAGGATGAGCCATTTCACGATCGGATAGACCTGAGTTTCCAGATCCCAGTCGAGTAGATTGGCCATGTCAAAAAGCCTGAACATGTTCAATTTCGTTAGAACGAGGTCCTGCCGAACGAAGGATGGAATACGAACGAAAGTGTGATGGATGCCGTCTCCAGGAATCGAACAAGCCCTTCCGCCAACTTTTTGTCTTCCGGGGTATCATACGGGCCTTGTAGCACCTGGTCGGGGACCATGTTGTTGTCGACATCAAGGAGCAATATGGTCTTCCATGGCGCCATGATTGGGAGTTTCCAGCCAAGCCCCATGTCTTGGCCCCAGTTAAGGGATACATCATCTTCATGGCGGTCTACTAAATCGGTTTCTTGATCATCTTGACTATGTAGAAGGGCATCGAGGTATGGAGGTAGTTGTAATTCTAATGGGAGGTAGTTGATAGTGATATAAGCCACAGAGGAGGTCTTGATGGCTTCAAATATAGTCTTCATGGCTGGAGCGATAGAAGAGACTTCGAATGCCTTCGCCGTATAGGTCGCAAAAAGTTCACCTAAATATGTCCTAGATGAGCGCTGCCCCACTTTCAGCTCTGATTGCCTCACCTTTGGAGATACAGCTTTCCTTCAGAGCTATAAGTGTGTCACACTCTCGTTCAACAAAATTGGACAGGACTTGTTCTTGATATAGCACGGCAGTGAAAGTAAAAGCGATCTGTTCGTAGAGGATGTTGAAGTATTTGGAGAGATTTCCTGAGGCCGATGAAGAAGGGTCCGGAAGGTCGAGTACCAAGGCAAAGTGGAAAGTGTGCAGCCACTTGCTTTGGGAAGAGGACAGCGGTTCTGAGTTCGACGACTCCGAAATGGATGAGGTGGAATTGCCATTATGAGGAGATGTTGAACCCCCAGGTTCACTTGCTTCACGTCCCCTCGAACTCGTCTTGATTTTCTCGGGTTTGAATCTCCACCCACCGTCGCTATCTGCACGAACTGGATGTCCTATGAATGCTAGGTCGTCAACAACCAGCTCGAATTTTTGATGGCACATGGACCGCTGCGGGCAGAGGTGCTGGGCTAGGAATTCCGCTTTATATCCCAATACGTGCTCGTATTCGTCAGGAATTGGAGTCTTCGCATCGTAGCCGTTGAATGACCGATGTCGAGAGTGCGAGGTACGGCTATCTGGCGAGGAGTGACCATATTTCAGATCTTTATCTCGTAACGCGTTGGGTCTTTGCCAGCAGTAATCGGGGTCGGAGCCATACTGACGAAGTGCTTGTTCAACGCTTTCCGCAGCTCCTTGAGAGTGTGAAGCCCTCCATGGGTTATCGAGCTGAGAGAGAGACAAGGCGTCGTCCGGTCGGGCGCGACTGAGCCGCGGAGATGCTGTCGGGAACTCTGGCCACCTAAAGACGAGATTCGAACCATTGGCAGAAGTTGTAACAAGTAAAAGGGCAATGAGCGTTTCTGCCATCCTGGGCTTGCACGATTTCACTATGGCTACCTTCCTGGCGGGTGAAGAAACAAGGAAGAAGGTTCAACGAACAGGACAAGGTAAGAACATGACGCCACGGTCCTGTGAATGTAACCGTTGTTGAACAAGTTTAGGTCGGCATCAATGTAGTGACTAGTCCTAGCCTGGCTAGCCAAGCTTATTTAATGATCGCGTGAAGTACGTAGTGCTGACGTTCACAATATAGTCCTATATTCTAATGCTTGATACATGTGATGTATGAACCCCGCAAGTGATATCATAACTTCTAGTAACTTCTTGTCTGGCATTGAGGGTGAAATCCAAGCTTCATGTACGTAGATAAGTATCGCGAAAAGAGAACATAGTCGTATCCTGGCACATTCACTACTAATCATTTGCTGTTTCCCTTTCTTCTCGGACCAAGCATCAGGCGACGACTCGTTACGCCACGAGTTCGACGACGAGAGGTAATTCAGGAGTTGGTGTCTTGTTGCCTGCTGTAGTGGGTGTGACGATTCCAGTCATCTTCCAGACTACCTCTTTGTTCGACGGTGAGAACTTGAACGACGCTATCAAGACTGACAATACAACCTCTGAAATAACGGTGTGAGTGGACAAGGCAGAACTCAGATGAGAGATATAACTCGCTCATTTCCAGCTGAGAAAACTTGAAGCCACTAGATAGAAGCCAACCATTAGCAGCAGAAGGCCAGAATATTAGTGCTGCCTTGCATGCAAGATCTTCCACCCCCAAGGAAAGTCATACCAATTTGTTGCAAGTTAGACAAGGACAAAAAGGGTTCAACAGCTGGGACCCACAGATGCGAATACACTCCTGGAACACGCGTCTCAACAACTGCGTCTGGCATGGACGTGAGCCACCTTTCTGGCTTCCACTCGTAGGAATCTGGTCCCCAGATCTCTGGATTTGAATTCCTGTTCGAGGACAAGATACTAACGAACACATCCGTATCTTTGGGAACAATGATCTCGTGCATCTCGTTCCCATCCACCCCCTTGATAGGGTTGGAAAGAGGGAGAACAGAGTCTTGACGGGTGCTAGTTGGGACTCGATTGAGCAAATATAGCGCTAGATAAACCTATTGGCGGCGTACGTTCTTGCGACCACAGTGATCGGTGGATATCCGGAAAAATGGTGGTCAGCACCGTTGCGCAAAATAAAGAGAGCTACAACGCACAATCGTAGGGTTTCTCGACATACGACGTCAAGGTAAGGAAGATGGACCAACTCGTCATAAGCTGGATCTCCTTGCGTTCTGGCCTGTTGGACCTCAGCCCTCAACCTATCCTGTACGTCTTGATGATTGGCAAGAAGCCACAGAGTACGCGACAACGCGGAGGAGGTGGTATCCATAGCCGCGAAGGTTAATGTCCTATATATTTCAGGTTGACAGGCATTGAAGAGAGGGTGAGAACGTACGATATTTGGCCTCCCAGCTCTTCTTCAGATAGACCGCCTTCTTTTGAAGCTGACATGTTCGCCCTCACTATTAGACTGCGTTAATCTGCTCAGCCCAAATTTATGCATAGACCTACACAGGATGCTGAGTATGTCCTTTCCTTGTCCTATTTGCCTCGCGACTGCTTTGTCCCCCTCTGCTAGTGCTGCCTTCTTAGTTTCGATGATATCCGCCGTTGTCTTGTGAAGAACATCAACAAGGTCTCTGAGGTCGCGAAGGTCCTTCCATGGCGCCAGGTTGACGAAAAAACGCCTGAGTTTTGGTGTCCCTATCTTAATGAGTATAGGAAGGAGATAAATCCGCGAGATGAGAAACTTGAAAGTAAGAGGTCTAGAATGACGTCACTAACGGCACTCTCGGTGAATGAATCGACGTACACGACTTGCTTTGCGGCCGCGGTGTAAGGGTGGGGGATGCCGTCCTCCGTCAAAGGGTCGAATGAAAAAATCCACTTTGGCCGACCAGCTCAAGAGCGGTTCTTGTCATCCAAGACACTAGCTCAACCTAGGCTCTATCGGCGAGAGGTTGGGTGCAGGGTTACCAGAACATCCACTGACCTCCTGTGGGCCGGCCTTGACTTTCTTCGCAATCGCATCCCCTAGCTACAGTAGGTTATAAACAAAAAAAGAAAAGAAAAACTCTTGAAGAAAGCGCCATACCTTGTCAGCAACATTGTAGAATGTGGGAACTTGGGAAAGCCGTCATCAGACTCATTTCGTGGTTGCTTTAGAAGAAACTCACCCATCTGACGCATATGAGCAATCGAAAATACGGGATTCAGCATCTTCCTCTGTTTCCTGTGCTGTTCCCCTGTTATAACAGTGAGCACTGCTTGCCGAAGGAGCCTTCAGCTCGAGCTACGCACCGACTACTGCCAGAAGACCACATCCAAACAACGCTAGGTTTAATCTCAAGAGTGCATGCCATCAGCGCGGATGAAATTACTTTTCAGACATAAGTCCGTCGTACGCGATGATACTTGTAGCCTCTTCATAGGTGTTTGTATCCTTCAAGAAATTATCAATAGCTGGGAAAGCAGTTTTCTGTTCCCATACCTTGACAACGATGTGATTCATGGCTATAGGATCGAAGACATAGAGTTGAACGTCCTGGACGTCTTTGTCAACTAGTACAGAAGGTCAAACAGGCGAATTTGACGAACACCTAACAGCCCTGTTAAGTTGACGACACCGCCGTCTATGACGGATTGAACTCATAAGAAACAGATCAATAGATGAAGGGAAGCATCGTACATTTCTCGGCCATTTCCTTCTGGAAGGTCCAAGCATTGTCGTTAAAAACTTGGGGCAAAACACCTAGGATCCAAGTAATTAGCGACGAGACACAGAAGGGGGTGCCATTTCACTCAACCTTTCCAGAGCGATTTCGCTGGTGGTCCCGGTATGTTGTCGAGTGCAGACTTGCGGAAGAATCTTTGGCGAATTTTCCAAACAATCCACGAAAAGGCATAGAATGCCACGGCTTTGAGAACAGCAGAAAACATCTGGTACTGCAGGGAGTAGACACGAAAGGAAGGGGGCGGGAGCTTCAGATAGATAGAAACACTCTGTGCGCTCGATATGCAGTATAAATGGGCTCGGGAAGGGCTGGGAACCGCGCCCCATTTCCGTCATCTAGTCAGTCTTCCAGCCGGAACGCCGGTCCAACTTGATCGAGGATAGTCATACCAATTATTCGACAGTCGGCCTTCTTACTGACGTTTCCCAGGTTGGAGGGCAATCCCAAACAAGTCGGACTTGTATGGTCGTGAGAGGGATACGAGGGGAAAAGTCATGGAGGAACATCACACCTCGTTGGAAACAGGACTGCGACGCGGAATGGGAGGGTAGCGTCTTGCCACTCTGAAGGTCAGGTTGATGTAACAGCAAATCGTCAGACGGCATTCTTTGAGGTGTCTGACAAAATGTAGAAGGCGACCGGTGAGAAAGGTTGTTGCTGACCACGATCGCAGGAAGTCCAGAAGTGAAGCACCTCAGGCGAATCATTGTATGAGAACAAATTACGAGGGACCAAGAAACCTATATAGGGAAGAAGAGTATAAATCGACCGCGGCAGAACTCAGTCGGTGCACGGGGATGACGAACCTGAAGTTGCGGAGGACGAGCCACAGTTAAAAAGACATTGGTGGATTCATATTTAGGACTAGTTGTTTCGCCGACGATGACAAAACAGTTTTCACGTTGAGACGTAAGGGCGATCGAATGAAGTGGTCGTGTCAGACTGACAGAAGGCGGATACGGTGGAAGTTCCCTTGAAGGTTAGCTGGTCCACGGTCCGAATCACCTATCACCTATCCACCATAGCTTCTAACTCTGATTAGCAAAATACTGAGGTTTCAATTCAAAATAAAAGTCACGCAGAAATGGGAGTGTACTGAAGAATTTTATTCTTCATAGGTCATTCATAGGTCATAGAGTAGGAAGAAGAAGCAAAATCCAAGTCTCAGGCAGCGCGTTCGACCACCAGCGGGAGTCGAGGAAGAACCGTCTCATTGTCTGCAGTCGTTGGTGTGGCAATTCCATTCATCTTCCACAGTACCTCTTTATCTGAGGGAGAGAATTTGAAAGACGCAACCAAGATCGACAATACAACCTCTGAACATTTTATGTTAGTTGACTATGTTGGATAGTTTAGCGTGGAAACCCACTCATTTCCAACTGAGAGAACTTGAAGCCGCTGTTATGCAAACCAACGATTAGTTTGCATTCGATGTGATTGGAGATCATTAAACTTACATGCAAGCTCTTCCACCGCCGAGGAAAGTCATGCTAAATCACCTCGAGGATCAGAGGTGTTCAAACAATAAGGGACATAAACCTACAGATGCGAATAGATTCCCGGAATATGCGCCTGAATGACAGTGTCAGGCAACGGTTGGAGCCACCTTCCCGGCTTCCAATCGTAGGAATCTGGTCCCCAAACCTCTGGATTCCTGTTCGAAGCCAAAATGCTAATGATTACATTCGTGTTGTTGGGAATTGGGATTTCGTGTATTTCTCGGCCATCTACACCTTTGATAGGCGTCCCAAGAGGCAAAACGACGTCCTGCCGAGTGCTGTCATTTGAGCGTGAATCAGGCATACATGACTTGATTAAAGGCCGAACATACGTTCTTGCGAGAACAGAGACAGGCGGGTATCTAGATTAGAGGAGGTAGGTCAGCGTTTCATCAGAGTGCACACAAGACGACATACAGTCTGAGATTTTCCCGGCATACGGCATCAAGATAAGGAAGATTGACCAGGTCGTCGTACGCCAGGTCTCCTTGCTTTCCAGCTTCTCGAACTTCAGCCCTTAGTTTATCTTGCACATCCTGGTGGTTCGCTAGAAGCCAGAGGATGCGCGACAATGCCGAGGATGTTGTATCCATAGCCGCGAACGTAAGAGTCCTGTTTTTTTTTTTGGCAGTGCAACAGAAAAGAAACAACAAGGAACCGTACGACATCTGACCTAACATTTCCGCTTCGGATAACTTATCGGCTTCTGAAGCAGTCATGTTTGCCTTCACTATGAGACTATTAGCTCGACGAACTCAAGCTAAACCAATCCACTTACAGAGGATGCTGAGGATATCTTTGCCTTGTCCAATCTGGTTGGCCACAGATTCGTCACCTTCTGCGAGAGCCTTCTTCTTGGATTCAATAATTTCTACCGACGTGTCGTGCAGAACGTCAACAATGTCTCGAAGGTCGTGAAGAGCTTTCCACGGGATAAGATCGACGAGGAACCGTCTAAAATTCGGCGTGCCAATCTTCACAAGTGTGGCGAGCAGGTAAGTCCGAGGAAAGAGCATTTTGAAGGAAACCGGTCTAGAAGGAAAGGGTAGGTTAGCAAGACTCCGTCACGATCAACAGATGGAGTACGATTACACGAGTCGTTTAGCCGCTGCGCTATACGGATGGGGGACGCCATCGTCCGTCAAAGGATCAAACGAAAAGCCAAAGCCACTCTGGCCTACGAGCTCAAGAGCAGTTCTCGTCATCCAAGATAGAACTTCAATCTACGAAGTCGTCAATGATTTTTAGGAGATGTAAACGTCAGGCAGTAGACATACCTCGCGCGGCCCGTTTTGAACCCTGTTCACAAAAGCATCCCGAAGCTTTCTGCGGCGTTATGATCCTAAGGCAACTGGACAAAGAAGACATCACACCTTATACGTAACGTTATAGAATGTAGGAACTGTCGAAGATATGCCAGTTAGACTCTTTTGATATGACTGAAGGACGGCATGTACCCATATCGCGCATATGAGCAATAGAAAATACAGGGTTTAACATTTTTCTCTGCTTTCGATGCTGTTCACCTGCCGGATGATGAGCAAATCAAGTTACAAATAAGCAGAGCGGAAACCTACCAAGAGTTCCCAGAAGTCCATGTCCAAACATCAACCTGTTTCCTCTGAAAAAACAGTAGAAAGTCGTTTTTTGCTTCATGCACGAATCGGGGAAATGTCTCACTCAATGAAACTCGAAGTCTCCTCGTAGATGTACTGATCCTGTACACAGGGGTTGGCAGAGTCAGAAAGCATGCTGGAATAACCAACCTTGACAACGATGTGGTGCAGGGCCTTGGGGTCGAAGACATATAGTTGGCTTTCCTGCCCAACTGCGTCGGATGATAACTAATAAAAAGGGGTAGAACTGGACGAACACCAAATAGGGCCGTCAACTTGATGACTCTGCCGTCTAGTATACAGCAAATCGATTAGCACAACGCAGTTCAACAACGAGATAAGCCACCCTACATTTTTCCGCCATCTCCCTGTGGAAGTTCCAGCCATCAACGTTGAAGACTTGTGAAAAAACACCTGAGACGAAGGGAAGATCAATAACGATGCAAGCGGGGGAAAAGAGTGTTGGTAGACCTTTCCAGATGGACTTTGGGGGAGGTCCGGGTATGTTGTCCAGCGCAGATTTGGCGAAGAAATGTCGAAAGGTTTTCCAAAGAACCCAGGAGAAGCCGTAGAGAGCTACGGCCTCTAGTGCAAGAATGAACATTGCGCGTCGAGTAGATGATAAGGAGAAGAACGGGTAATCAGAATACCGATAGTCTCAGAGGCTTGGACGGGCTTTATAAACAAATCTTCGTGAATGGATGAGAAAGACCGGGTCTCGTTGGCATCCTCTGCAATCGGCCTTGCCGTCGGAAAACCGGAGGATGACAAGGTCACCCATTAGTCTGCACCACGCTTCGCAGCGGCGTTTCCCATGGTGGGAGAGCCGAAGCTTGCAACAATGCCTGCCTGATGCCGCTTCCGTTGATTAAGCTAAGATAGCGTTGGAGACAGTGAGTCAAAACGAGTTGCAGTTATGACGCCATTCATCGTAGAACAAATCGCTAACCTTGGAAGAGACGCCAGTAGAGCAGAACTCGGCGGGTCCTTCATGAGCGTTCTTGGAAGTGGTGTTCCAAACATAGTTCTAGTTCCCGTTAGGATAACGTCTTGCGGCTGCGTGTATTCGCACAGCAAATATTGTGATAGAGGAGCGGTCATGCGATGTACTCTACTCCGAGGGTTCTAACTTCTGACTGACTCTATTGCCGAGTACTAATGACAGGATCGCTACCATGTCATAAAGCCAGGATGCTGAGCTTCTCGGAGCGTTTCCGAACAAGTACCAAAGGGATGTCAGAAGCAAAGCACGTCCCAGATATGTGTGCCCCGAGTCGGAACAATAGAAGGATGCAGGAGAAAGAGCGGAGTATCGCAGAAATTCGACGCCTGGGATCATGGATAATGGAAATTCTTGAGTGTGGATTGAACTGGATTGAACCTGTGGATTACCCAATCGTCGTTCACGCTCCTTTTCTTCAACAGTGCCATTCTCGTCGAATGCACGATTGATGTCCTCTGAACCTCAACTACAGCCAGACAGCAATATAGTCGATCTCCCCTCTGGTGTGTATCTAGAAGCAGACTTGTGGAGGCCTCCCCACCGATCAGCGCAGAGGGATCCAGCAGGCAACAAACTTGCTGTGTGCCTTCACCCTTGGTCATGGCTAGGCGGGAGGAAGGAGGACCCGTGAGTAACCTTGCGGTTTGCTTTTCTTACAAGCCAGCTCAGGATGGGTTAGAGTGCTTGGTTCTTTGCTATCACCTCTGCTTGACGGAGACTACCACGTTCTTCAATACAATTCCAGGGGAGTTGGAAGATCTACAGGCTGGGCCTCCTTTACCGGTTTCAAAGAAGCGCAAGATCTGGAAGAGCTTGTGAAGTGGGCTATCCAAAAGATTGGGAACGTGGTTTCACTTGTAATTTTGGTGCGTACTGTGAACCCTTGCTCCGTATTGTGACCCGATTTATGCGTTCTTAGGGTTATTCTCATGGCTCTCTCGTAGCGTCGCTCTTTCCTGTGATTCCTGGCACCAAGACATCTCATATACTGCTCTCGTACCCACTTGGTCCGCGGGCTTGGTTGACGCTGTTCAACTCTTCGTCCTACATGAAGGCGCTTGAGGACCTAGTTCATCATGACGAATCCAACGTTCTTGTAATATTTGGTGATAGTGATGAGTTCACGTCACAATCCAGATATGCAAGTTGGGCTGCAATTTTGCAGGGAAATGTGGAAATCGTCGAAGTAGAGAATGCATCGCATTTTTGGCACGGGAGGAGTGGAATCAAGCTAGCATCTATAGTCAGGAATTGGTTACCATGAAACATGTATCGGTCAAAATTTCACTCTATGATCAACTACATGAGTGAATCATTGTAGTGTGGTAGTAAGAGGTGACTTATCTTATCAGTCGACCTAACAACCCGCCGTCAGAGGGTTACCTAATAAACCACATATACCCTTTAGTTTACGACGACAACCTCTAGTGTCCGTCTGCAAGTCGTTCTTATGTCGATTTCTCTCATCGCCTCTTGCTAATCTATCGTTGTCGATTTAGGCACTTTCGCCCCACAATCTTTCAAGAGCAGAAGCTGCTGCAGGGCAGAGACAAGCAGGACAGATGTGAGTGTCGCCACTTCCCATGTCGCGTCATCAGCCATGTTCACGAGCCAAACATCGAGCCAGGCCACTCCCAGATGAGCGTCCACGGCAGAGTGTTGCGAATCTCATTGGCCGATTTGAGACCCAGACAAAGCGCCTTTCCCTGTCCGCGAGCTCACCTTCGCGCAGTTCCAGCGTCGTGTCCCACATTACTGGGGATTCCGCCCGTGAAGAGATCAAAGAGAAGCGGGAATGGCCCCCTAAATCCGTGACCAATGTCGAGAAGCAACCCCTGCCTATCGTCCCTCCTCTCTCCTCACGCATCCCAGCTGCCCTCAGTACCCAAATCAGCGATCAAACCAGGAACGTGCCCGACGAACCTGAAGTCCCCCTCACAGCGAAGGCATTGAACGCGTCACTGCGGCAGGTGCAGCAAGAGCCAAATACATTTCTCGAGAACTGGAGGAAGGACTTGCCATCGTCGACCACTGAAATGGAACCCGCAGGGGCAGCCCCTGCAGCATCCGACTCCGAGAAACCGTCGAGTGTCGCAACACCTACAACAGCATCTGTCCAGAAGTTCGTTTCGCCTGCAACTCCGCGTACACCGGCTGCTAAGACACCTACAACGAAATCTGCTGCTAGTAAGACGTCGGCGCCTGCTTCCTCGAGGGCGCCCCCCCCTGCAGCTTCCAAGACGCCTGCGAAACCAGCTATTAAGCCATCAGCTCCGAAACTATCGTCGTCTGTATCGACACCTCAGCCCTTAAAGCCACAGCACACGGGGCATTCCATGGCTTCTACCACAACGGCCAGGAAGACAGTACCCAAGACGCCTATCACACCCAGAGCCAAGACTCCAGCGCAGGCAGTCTCGCGTTCCAAAACCCCAACCTCTGTTACTCGTCCAAAGACACCTTCGTCCGGATTATTTGCACCTACGGCTGCATCCCTTGCCCGTTCCCGCAATGCGCCCGTTCCAGTATCGACCCCGGTGAAAAAGACGACCTTAAGCAGCGGTGCGATGGATCGTTTGAGCAAACCGACTGCCGCCTCGTTGTCGAAGAGGGCCACACCTGTTACGCCTGCCTCCTCTTCCCGCCCTGCTGCTGCAAGCCCCAGAGCAAGTGTTATAAAGCCAAGGGTTTCCTCAACAGGTTCTAAGGCAAAGAAGGACTCTTTTGTTCCAAAAGCTGCCACGGGTGCTGCTGTCGCTGCAACCGTAGCCACTGTTGGAGCAGCCGTCGCTGTGTTGGACGAAGACGAGCAAGCAAAGGAAGCGAGTTATGGGGAGAGCGTCGAGAATGGGCACGGAGAAGATGCAATAACTGAATCGGCAGGATCAGTTCAGGATGTCGCGGAAGAGGCCTATGAAACTCAGCAAGAGGAAGAGGAGAGCTCGGTGGTTTCTCTAGGTCCTGAGGATCCCCCCATCGACGCCGCCAGTGTTTCTTCCGAAGATAACGAAGCCACACCCCTCTCGCCTTCTCCGCCTCCCGCTGAAGAGGCAATCGCAGAAGACGCTAATCGAGAACCCGTTCAAGAACCCAAGGACGACCTTGAGGATATTGTCAACCTCCTTGAATCAGTCTCTATCAAGCCACCCGTCCCACCTGACATGTCTGACGGCATCCTCGAAATACCTGATGAGGATGAGAAGTGAAGAAGTTGCAAGGAGAGACCACAGCAGAAAGAAAATCAATCAAGCCGATGAAATGGTTCCTGTTAGCTATGTCGTCGTAACATTCTTCATTCATACTACATACGATCTTTATCCCCGTGCTCGATGTCCCATCTGATGGGCCATTTTCCCAACCTCCCCTCTTCCGAATTTACTCTACTACCCTGCGTTAGATAAACCTGCGCCCCACACGCACAGGAGCACCTTACGATGCCAATCCTTTAGTCAACAATGCTTTCTCGGCCCTCTTCTATTTACCCCTCCACAATTTCCTGGGCAGTTCACGATCAGACGTCTTTCTTTCCTTCTTACGATAACCTTGGAAACTACATACCCTACGACCGTTACAACGTACAGCCTTCGAACACAGATTTGAAATGAATATTCTATGAAGATTGTAAAAAAATCATGTCAGTGGTCCTTCACCACGATGCAATGGTTCCCACGCGTCGCGATCATGAGACGCGTCATGACCATGTCAATACCCTTTTGTTCTTACCATCAGCTAGCCGTAATGTCCACATCGACCTCCAACTCCAAACCTGCCGAATCTTCAAAGCCAGCAGAAGAGTCGAAGGCTGAAACACAGCCTCATCTCGGCCTTCTAGAGGAGGATGACGAATTCGAGGAGTTCCCCGTTGCAGGTGCGTTGAAATCGGTGTCTCATCAGTCTCTCCTTGCTTGCTGACTTCGTTGGCACGTTCTCTTTACAGATTGGAAAGATTCAGAGACTGATCTGGCGCATCTCGGCGGAGCTGCCCCAGGAGCAGCGAAATCGGGCGGTGATAAGTTGTGGGAGGACAACTGGGACGATGACGATATCGAGGATGAGTTCAGCGTACAGCTGAGGTGAGCCAGCATTCAGAATCCCCGAAGTCACATCTGACGGCGTTGTATTTGTCTTCAGGAACGAACTGGCGAAGACGAAATCGACCGCAATGGAACATTAACTCGAACCCTCTTGTATTTTGCGTCTGCATCTCAACACGATTCTTAGAATCTTATCTTTTGCACTGAATTGTTTTTCGATATGACAGGTATGAGCCTGGTTTCAGGAGGCAATTCCACGAGTCGCATATTATGGTATCGTGAATCTGCTCCGACATACAACATTTCGTTCGTGCGGTTCGTTATTACACCTCATAAACAGCAATAGCAGCAGAAATACTCAAACGACCTGCACCTGGACCTTCTCATCTTTCTCATCCTTCTCGTCAATGGACGACTGTTCCGTCTCTATTCCAGGCAAACCCATGGCCGAAGTATCATAACCATGTGCTTCGAGATATGCACGGAACTATAGATACACTCTTTCAGCCGCATAATAGTGGATCATGACCGGATATGACGAACCTCGCGATCTTCGATTTCCATACCGTCTGTAGTGAGAGGCTTAATGAATGCGAAGGTAATGATTGCGCTGAGGACGGCAAGACCTGGAGGGGAGTAAGTCTCCTCAAGAAGTAACGACTGATCTGGACGTACCGCTACCAATCCAGAAAGGACCAGTGTTTCCTCTGTCAGTTGAAGTGCCGCCAAAGGCTGATTGGACGGGATTGTCAGCACCCAGAACTATACGACATGGCGTTACTTCTTACCGTCGATGATGGGAGGGAATACTGTGAGGAGCAATGAGCAACTAGAAGGAAATCAGCATCCCTAAACTTACTCCATGTACCGACAAAGGCGCCGACTTTGCCAATGGCAGCAGCAACGCCGTAGTACTGGCCACGAATGGCTGTAGGGCTCGTTTTACTGGCGAGAAGACCAAGGCAGTTGCCCGGACCTGTAAAGTAGCTCTTTAGCATTCGTCTCAGAAACATGGAAGCAAAACGACCAACCGAGCTCTCCAAAGGTCAAGAAGATGCCATAGACGACCTGCTAATCTTCCAGGAAATTTAATAAGATGAAGAAGAGAAATACGTACAGCGAAGGCTCCGACATGTTTCGTGAGACTAAAACCCCGTCAACTAGGAGGTGATAAACTTTCAATCTATGCTTACGGGGCATAAAGTCCACTCATGATGAACCCAACCACAGCTTGGAAAAGCAATCCAGTGATCTAAAAAAACCCAAGATTCAGCAAGACAATGACGGTGGCCGGGAATAAAGGTTGGCTGACCATCGTGTACTTGGGCCCCAAGTAATCAACGATGAAAGCGCCGCCGATGGTCCCTGGCATATAGAACAAGCTGAGGTATATGTGAGCTTGATAATCGCTTTTCGGGCTTATATTTAAGTTCCTTACTTGATAACAACGTTCCAGCCAAAGACGACGGAGAGAGCGGTGTTTCCGCCTGTAATGCTGGAGATGCAAGTTAATGGAAACTTTGGATGCATTGCAAAAGGATAGTAGTATTACCGATCGATGATAATAGAGGAGTAAAGGCCAAACTTTTCATGTTGTGTTCATTCGCGAGTTGGCGCAGAGAAAATATTATTCAACTCACGGGATAGCTATTTGAGGAATAGAAATAAGTCTACAGGTTCAGAGAAAGAAGAAGCAACATACACAATGATGTCGTACAAGAACCTGAAGGAAATCGTTCGGATGAGTTCTTTCCAGGTCTACTCAACACATTAACTCGTTCTCACCAGGTAAAGGAAATTGCAGCCAAGGAACCGCCGTAGCGACGCAGGACGAGCATGTACGGGATTTTGGCGTGCTTCATGGAATCCTTCTTGTATCGAACAGGCTCATCCATACTCAACCGCCAAATGAAGACGGCGGCAGCAGGAACCATGCCCAAACCGAGCGACAGACGCCATACAGCACGGAGATGGTCGTTTCCGAAACTAGTGGAACATTGAATGAAGTGGTGCTGGAAAAAAGGAATGGGGCTTACATCCAGAAAAGCACTAGAGGAACGAATGCAGCGACGACGAACCCGAAATCAATCATAGAATCTAAATTTACGCTGGTATCAGGATCGCGGGGTCGGGGTGGGTGACGATAACGTACTCGTCGCAAGCGCAAACCATCGATGCTGGGCTTTCTTGTTGATTCCAGGCTCCTCTGACTGCTCAGACGCGGAGACGGACCCGCAAGGGTATTCTGCGCCTACACCAATACCGAGAAGGAAGCTGTATCACGCATTAGATTAGGAGGCTTTGAGGATAGTGGAATGGACACGTACCGCATGGCGCTGAGCATGCTGAGCATTCCGCCGACACTGCCGTTTGCTCCAGACGAGGCGGCAGACAGCCCTGAGAAAAGCACTACGATTACCGTCGCACTCATCTATCAACGGTTGGATCAGCCACCGTCTTCCTACAGTTCTGGGCCACTCGTACCATGCCGAATTTGCGTCCAATCTTGTCAGACAAGTAACCTGAATAGGCTGTAAGACAATGGTATGTGAGGGGGGAGGCGCGAAGCACTGACCAAAGATGATCATCCCCACTATCGTTCCAGCAAAGGCGAGACTGCTCAGAGTCGTGGAGTAGTCATGGGCCTTCAACTTCTCTGGACCGTAGATCCTGTTTAGCACTGGAATAAGGCCGAGATAAGCGGATGTTCGTGTTCATAGCCTGTTAAAGCCTTACAAGTGTTGACTGTGGGCGAAGAGTTTCTCAGCACTTGGAAAGGCTTGGGACACTGGATAAGGCAAAACTTACCACTTCCGATGATGCCATTGGCGTATCCTACAGAATCGTGTAAGACGGAGCTCGAGGAAGTTGAATGAACGCCCAGAAAAAATTGCACACCATCAGAGAAGAGAGCCGTCCCACAGCTAAGGAGAACAATTAGTGAGGGTATTTGGTGAAAAAAGAGCCCGACGGACGCAAAAATGAGGGATACACTCTTGATTCGTTCTTTGAGGGTCATGAGTTGCAGAGAAGCTCAAACACCGGGGCTGGAGAGTGGGGAAGCGAGGCTTCTCTTATCGGCTGCATGGAGGCTTATTTTTATACGGCGGCTATACGGAGCTTCGGTTGGGGGCGTTCATGCGAGGAGTTGAATAGAAGGGTGGGTGCCATCAGTCCTGGCACCAAATCGATATGCAGTAGCAGAACACCGGCGGTGCCAGAAAGTCTCCGACAGCCATTTATTACTTACTCCCAACCGATGTTATTTCCTGCCCCCCGCTCTGACACTTTGGCAGTCCACTCACTTATTTATAGTTCCCAGAGCGCGTACGTTTGTCCTAACGGAGGGTTCGGTCTTCCCTTCGAAGCATGTAGTGACCGCTGTACCACTCCTGAGGCCTGAGGGTGGTTATAAACTCCAAGCGAATTAGGACCCGCCAACGACCATCATACTGCACTGCAATCCATCTCACCTTGACGTCGTTTGAACCTCAATTCTCACGTACCCACAAAGTCTGGATTCCCTGGTCCGAGGGGTCCTTCATGTAGAGTTGATGGACACAAAGTTCCTTTATCGGTTTGACTTATCACCTTTCGACGACTTGAGCGAAACTGCAGTCGACGCGAGGACTCCCGAATAGGCGTCGGCAAGGAAGTGCTGCATGTCAAGCAAGACCGCCTCATTTGTCCGTGGAACGTGCTTCTCGGAACATGAGGGAACTAGAGGACATGTCTATAGCGCTCAAGGAGATTGCCTGAGTGAATATTTGAATAGACTTTGAATTCCCAAACAACGATCCTTGATTGGATGCAAGTAGTGTCGGATTCAAAGCGGAAGGTTCGAGCCGTGGTTTTCATGAAGACCCTAATTTCAGAAGTTTGGTAGCATATGTCGAGCACGGAGAAATCATCAGTAGTGCTGGATGGCTGGTAGAGAACCCAGGTATGAGCATCGCGACACTCGACATTGTGGCGGTCCGGATGAGAGGATTGCCGAGAACATGTGATTTCCTTGAAAACGCGAATAACGTGACGCGTCGGCTTACCCCGCGTCAGTAACTTGACCCGGCACTGTTCGTGTCATCCCATTCTGCCGTCCGTCTTCCACCGCTCCCCACTCACCAACCTCACCAACCTCACGATGGGCCGACCAACTGAATCCTCCGGAGCTAGCAACAGCCTGACGGTTCGCGATAATCGAACAGGGAAGGTCTTCGAAATTCCGTATGTGTTTTCAAGGGACAAACTCGGAGTTACTGTAAACGTTGACGCGTTTTCTGTGCTTTAGGATTGTGGACAATAGCATACCTGCGACTGCGTTCAAGGACATGAAGGCGGCGTTCCAGAAAGGGGAGCGAGAGGAGAATGAGACGGATAAAGGACTCCGGGTTTCTGACAAGGGATTCTTGAACACGGCTGTTATCCGCAGCGAAATAACCTATATCGATGGGGAAGCTGGAGGTACATGGACCATTTCCTCGGATCTATCACCTCTGCTTATTTAAATTCTCCCTGAAGTTCTGCGCTACAGGTAATTCACACTCGAGCCTTTCTCAGAATCCGCGCCTAAGGCCTGCTCCAGAGGATATCCTATCGAACAGCTCGCCCTGCATTCATCGCACCTGGAGACAGCCTACCTGCTTATTTATGGCTCTCTTCCAACCAAACCCCAATTCGAGGTTTTCCAGAATGAAGTGCTACACCATGGGGTCACACATTCGGATGCGGCTCAGTTCTGCAGGTCCTTCAGGTGATTTCTCTTGAATTCCATTGCAAGAGTTCCTTTAATCTTTCTTGCTTCTTCCATAGATATGACGCACACCCCATGGCAATTTTGACGAGCGCCTTCGCCTATCTCGGATCATACTATGCAGAAGCTAACCCTTCCCTTCAAGGTTTGCTCCCCACACCCTACCCTCTCGTACACCCCATCACCGTGGCTTTCTCATCCAGGCCAGACACTTTTCAGCAAAGGAGACAAAGCTTCCCTCGCAGTGATGGACAAGCAAATCTACAGGCTCATCGGAAAGGCTACCACATTGGCTGCGTGAGTTTGCCTGTCTCGTGCCTCCGCAATCATTAAGCAGGTGCTGTACAGGATGGCGTACCGTGTGCGTCAAGGCCGCGACTTTGTGACGCCTCCGACGGGCTTGAGCTATACCGGATCGTAAGCAACGTCAATCTGGGTACCAGCCAAAAAAGCTAACGGTGCCTGCTAGGTTTTTGTACCAAATGGACCACCTCGGCGAGGAGAACTACACACCGAATCCCGTTCTCGAAAAGGCTCTGGATGTTCTCTTCCTTCTACATGCCGATCATGAGTTGAATGCCTCCGCGACTACGGTCCTCCAGACCGGCAGCTCACTTGTCGACCCATACTCTGCGATAGCGTATGTTTTGCATTCATTACCACTAGTCATTCATTTTCACTGTTTTTGTTTCATAGGGCTGGTTGCGCTTCTCTCTAGTGAGTTGCCTTGATTTTATGTCGGAGAACAACGCTAAGGCCATCCGGCCTCCAGTGGACCTTTGCATGGTTCGTTCTCCTAGGTCATTTTTGAGTTATCATCTTATTTCCCCCCCAGGTGGTGCCAACGAGGCCGTTATTCGAATGCTCATCTCTATTGGCAAGTAAGCGTGTTGTCTCCTTCCCATGATGCCAACTATAAGCCCTTTCAGACCAGAGAACGTTCCTGCGTTCATCGAAGCTGTAAAAAAGCGCGAAAAGGTGTTGTCAGGCTTTGGACATCGTGTGTACAAGACGGTTCGTCCTCGTGCCGAAAGCGTTATTTTCACTTGTGGGACTGATTTACTTCGCATTTTCAGTCCGATCCACGTTCCTTCATCGTCCGAAAAACCGCAGACGAAGTTTTCAAGATGTACGCTTATAACCTTGAAATTTACGAGAGGGCATGTTTACCGGAGAATTATGTAGCACCGGCAAGGATGAACTGCTAGAGACCGCTATGGCATTGCACGAGGCTGCCATGAAGGACGAATACTTTATCAAACGTAAGCTGGCTCCGAACGTCGATTTCTGGTACGTGGTCTCCTCCACGTTCTCGTTTTCTCACTTCAATATTTTTAACTACCTCCGGTCGCAGGAGGTAAAGTAATATCGGACATTAAGGCCATGTGCATTTGACCCACTCCTTCACAGTGGTCTCATCTACCGTGCGATGGGTGAGCGTCCTCGTTGTCCTCGTTGGTCGTATGCTGACCGGTGGGGTGTAAAAGGCTTCCCACTTGATTTCTTCCCTGTGTTGTTTGCTGTGCCGCGTGTGGTGGGGTGGCTCGCCCATTGGCGCCAAGTACGTTGCCTCCAAGAGCGTGCGTCTCGGTGTCCAGATACTGATGCTCGGGAACTCCCAGATGATGCTGCAAGAGGGCGGCGTGAAAATATGGCGTCCTCGTCAGGTATCGTTGCAAACTACGGCGCCTGTGTAGTTGGCTGATTCGGAGCAGATCTATGTCGGGTCGGGGAAGCGCGATTACGTTCCGATAAATGAGCGGATCGCGGTCGAAGGACCCAGAAAGACCCCCTCGACGATTGCACATTCAGGGTAAGGTTTCCCCTTTGACATGGAAAACGTGCTGCCATGACAACTATGTGTTTTGTTTTTCATTTCTTCAGAATAACGAAGAGGACGATGCTAGCCTCGTTCAAGGACAAACCAGCGGCGAAGTTATGAGGAACGGTGAGGATGGCCGTGTAGCAGGTAGATTTTCATGTAGTTACTAGGAGCAACAATGCCAAGGTGTTTGATGAATGGAGAACATTGTTCTTGGGGGGAGCGACCGTTTGACACCGAATCGGGAGCTCATTGTTATGTTGTGTTTGGGCGAAGGGTGCCTTTTCCGTGCGTTTCGACAAAATCCATCTTTTCTCCCATCCCCTTCTTCCTGTCCTCACTCCCCCCGCGTGCCCCCTCCGCCCTCTATTTAACGCCCCCGCTATCCCACACCGACTAACAGAAATGTTCTCCACACTCGTTACCGTCGCTCTCTTTGTCGCACCCGCCATCCAAGGCGCCCTTGCCGACTTTGCCATCAACACCCCTGCTCTCAAGCAGGTAACTCACCTCCTACGCGATCCCCTCACCCGCCGTGCTCACCTCTACGTTCTCCTAGTGCCAAACCTCCCGGATCTCCTGGGAACCTACAAAGGGCCCCTACAACCTCATCGTTGTGAAGGCCTCCGAACCATGCGGTGACGCCCTGTTAGTTGAAAACCCCATCATTCCTCCCTTCCCGTTATTCATGCCCCCCTTTCAGCGTCGAAGTTGGTGATTTCACCAAGACCTTTATCGACTGGAAGACCACCATCCCTGCTGGAACTGAGGTCCAGCTCTCTCTCGTTGACGCGGATGATGATGAGGCCTGGAGCGGGAAGGTGCGTGGCCAAGCCAGTGCTGTTTTGATGCCAACCTGATGTCAAACTTTTTCTAGATCACCGTTGGCGCAAGTGACGATGCTTCCTGCTTGAAGGGCGCTGCCTCCGCTTCTGCCTCTAGCTCGGCCCCCGCCGCTTCCTCAACAACTGGATCCACCTCCACCTCGACGTACGTCCCCCTTTGCTCCACCTTGCATCTCGGCTAAATTGGTCTTGTCATAGCACTTCGTCCGGATCTACGTCCGGCTCGACCTCTGACGACGATTCGTCAAGCGGCGACCTTACCCCTGTAGGAGCTGCCAACGCCGGTACAAACCCCTTCGGCACCAGCGGAGCCATCACTGCTCGCCAAGCAAGCACCCCTCTCCTCGTCCTCGCTGGACTGGTGGCTGCCTTCGTGTCGCTCTAAATCCCCTAATGATACCCCCTTCTTTCATGAACGTCGGCTCGGCGATTGGTTGTAGTCGCACGTTGCGAAGGCACCCCATCGTTACCTGACGCTGGATTTTTAACGCATTACGCCGATCTCGATGATGGTGATGATAGGGTGGATCTGGTTTTCTCTCATTTTTCGCGTTCAGGTCTCCGGAGATTTTCCTTTCTTGTCTGTACCAGAGGAGTGTGTTGGTGAGCGTGCTGAGGTGTTACTCGACTTTATCGTAGAGCTGGATGACCTCCATCTATCAACAACTCACATCTGCTGCATAATAGCCATTTCATGCATTACCAGGTGTTGTTTAAATTTACCCCAAATTTATCGTTATATATTCATCCTACCGTATACCCCTTCGCCACTATTCGTCTTGTCCTTACGACCTGTAGAATCGGTGTGAAAGACTTAACTTTCCGGAGGAGGTGAGGAAGTAGGGTTTGTGCGAAAGGCAGAGTTGATATGCCTCCAAGCTGCAATTGATGCAACTAGATGTCCGAGTTCATGATACGTGACATCGAGCAACGAGGATTGCTTGGTTCTGGACCGGTGCTAGATTATTGATAAATGTCGATAAATCGTCCACGAAGTTCTGAAACCAGGAAGCAGAGCCTTGACCTAGGAATTTCGAGTCCAGACACGTTGACCTCGAGGCGTAGCACAAGCAGAACAAGAGAGATGGTCCGGCTCATTCTTCCTAGATACACAGCCGGATATCAGTGTAATTCAATCGAGGCGACGCCGTAGATTCTACTCACAAGGTGCAGACCAGGCAGCTCCACGCGCCTTGAGGCGATTTACCGGAAGATTCTCCAATCGCTTTCGCAGGCCCGGGGTCCCTCATGGGTGGTTTTGTGCTGAGGATCCGACCACCACCCTTCACTGGTGCCATTCCGAGCGCTTCCTTTTTGCGCAAATCAATTTCTGTTTGCACCATCCTACCGAGGCCGAGGTTGCCCTTTGCTTTCGACGTCAAGGCGGCAGTAGAAGCCTGAGATTCTCCTTTATGCTTGCCTTTGCCCTTACTCGACGAGCCGGTCGCGTAGGTCGAACCCGAGGCGATGGGCACGTCGCACAACCCCCCATCCTGCCCGTCGTCATTCGAGGAAATTTCGATGGTATCGTTTGGTAACGCTGAACCGGAGCCACTTGCCTTGGGCGGTTCGTTGAAGTTGAACTCGTCTTTGAAGAGTTTCCAAGACGTCCGCGAAGAGAGCTTTTCCTGTTGGCCAGTGGGGTCCTTTTCGGAGTCCACCAAGGCTTTTCGTCGGTCGGCATCTGTTTCAGCGACAAACTCCACTTCGTCGTCGTCAGAGTCCTCTTCTGCAGATGCTTCGGCTTTGGAGGTGGATGGCTTCGTATCTGAAAATTGCGAAAGATTTGGCAACATATCCCACTAATCCGGACCAAAAGACCAACCTTGGGACACACCTTGCAGTGCGAGTAGCCGGCGCTCAGCAGCTAAAGCCCTTTCTTCTCTTGCACGTTTGCTGTAAAACAAGGTCGTTGTGAGCCGTAAGTAGCCAGTCAGGCGACGCAACTTGCATACCTAGCAGCCTGCTTCCCAAACCCAGTCCCTTTCCCATCATTGCCGAGGGTAGCTCCTTCACCAACGAAGGCGTATTTAGACGTGACACGTCCTCCTGCTTTCCTCTTCTTCGCCGTCTGTGCTCCGGTATGTAACGAAGGCACGACTTCACGTTGTTTACCCCGAGGTCCACGACGGCGACGCGTAGCAGTGGGCCGTGTTTGTGATTGTGCCCCACCGCACTTCATAAATAAAAAGATCACGCTCTAGAAATTGCAAGGAAAGGGAATACAACGTACCATATACTCCGGCAGGTCGCCTTCCTCGATTCCCTCTCCACCAACACGAGCAGAGTCACGAAGTCTCCTGCCAGAGGACCAGTAACCTACCCCAAATCCTCAGTTGATGGGTGCATGTACCCTTGAAAACATAGCGTACCATCACCATAGTACCCTCGATCCTGCAGCTGCCTCACTTCTACTCTCAAGCGGGACCACAGGGCTTGGAACGCAGGTCCATGGTTCATATGCTGCTTGCAAGCTAACTTCAGATTCATTCGGCCGATTGGAGTTGAATCTTAACGTGCCTTGATATGTGCGAGCTGGCAGAGAAGAGGATTCAGTAGGACCTAACAGGGAAAAGGGAGCGACGGACTTCATGGCACAGTATGCCTATCAGCCAGTATATTGGGCAGAAAGTCCCATCTGCGCGCCGTAGCACGAGTTCTAGAGATATTTCTCGACCTCCACTTTGAAAATAAGGGATATCGGGATCTCGCACCAATAGTGTCCCCATTGTTCCAGTTCCTTCCTGCGAATACCTGGTTGTATTCATACTGCCACACCATCATCATCATTTCAGCAACTTGCAAATCCCTGATGGAAGCCACACCTCGCACCTCTTCAAAGCTGTTGACCACGAATCCGTGTGCCTTCATAACAGGTCTGACTTGCGCCGCAAGAGCTCTCAACAGCTGACGCGCATCTTCTTGGTCCTGCGGGTCAGCTGGGAGCGCCGTTATGAAGTTGATGTGCGGATTGGGGTTGATTTCTTTCTCGTTCAGCCTGAGATGCACCATCTCGATGAATACAGATAGCGTGCGGTGCTGTTGTAATGCAGGAAGACGTCTAGAGATGAAGACAGCACCAGACAATTGCCGCGAAGCTGTAGAAAGTTGAAGTTAAGAGTGAGTGAGAGAAGTCGCGTCTCGAAAAGGAACGAAATGCCGATCACGTGTCCTAATTAAGGGGACGCGTCAACCGCTGCCGGCCCGCTGAAGACTGCCGCACTTTGCAACCCGACATTGGATTTGGATAGGTGCTAGTGTGTGTATATTGGTTTCTATATCTACATAATTGACACTGGTATTAGTGAAGGAAGAGGTAAAGTAAGCGCGGAGTAAAGCAGGAGCACGTAACCATTAGTATATACAGATGCCTGGCAATCTCGAGAACAGTTTAGTGTTGGTTGAGAGGAAATTCGGGGAAATGCGTCCATAGAGAAAGAGTGAAAATGGAAGGAGAGAACACCAGCTAGTCCTTCTTGCCCGGCTGCCAGGTTCTAATGTGAAGAAAGACGGAAAACCAACGATTCCACCCCAAAACAGATGAAGCCACAAAAAAATGCAACCAAATGTTCCATCGCGAACGATCGCCGGATGATTATCGCAGAAACCGAAGGGTGGTCCTGCGGATATGTATCAGCCCACATTGAACGTTTCTGCGATCATTCTGACTCGTCCTTGTACTTCCTGTTCCTCATCCCTGCTTGTATCACACCAACCACATCTCAACCAACCCTCACATCAACCACGACTTCAGCGACTGGCACAGAACTTTCTCCTGAAAATGAAGGCCCTCGACCGGACCTTGGCTGTCGATCGACGGGGGATGACCTCTACCGCGAACTTGCCATCGGCCATCCAGCGGTCTGGGCCCCCACGAACGCGCGAGAGGACATGGAACTCCCTCAACCACTCTAAATCCCGATGACCGTCTACGATCCTCAGCTTCCTCAACGCCCTACAATGACCATCGGGCATCTCTACCCGCGTGCGATGCAAACGCGACTCTACCATCGCCGCAAGCACGTTCGGCGAACTCGCCACACGTGTGTCGAGGCTGATCTCCTCGAGGTGCGGGCACAAACTCTCCCACTCGCCCCCGAAGTCCGAGTCCGAGTCTCCAAACGCCTCGAACCCCCAGTGCTCCGGCTGCCTCCGGGGCAGCAGCGTCAGCGAACGGAGCAGCAGATCGCCCACCGGCACGCCGTGCACGGCCAGCGAGGCGAGCGAGGCACTCATCTTGTGCAGGCAGCGCACGAGCGTGTCCTCTGTCATCGGCGAGTTGATCGACAAGCGCGTGATGGCACAGGCTGATTTGTCAATGAGGGAGAACAAGGATGTGGGGTCCCAGCCGTCTACCTGGGCCTCAGAAGGGGCGATAGAGGGTGTGGATGCGGATGCTGGCACGGGGCCTTGTGCGTAGGCATGAGGCAGCGGCGGTAGGTGCGACTGGGACTGGGAATACGAATGTGGCTGCACTTGGATCTGCTTGTCCCCATCGGAGGATATTATGACCTCGCGTAGGCCCGGGAGGATGAGGTGGTCGAGAACGCTCGTCAGGTCGTACGAAATATTGACGGATTTGAGCTCGGGAAGAACGAGCGGCTGGCGGCCGGGCGGTGTATGTGAAAATGGGCGGCTAATCCTGAGATGCTCTAGATTCTCGCACAGCTCCAAGACCTCGAGGTAGTCGAGCGAGCCATGATCCATCGCCAGCGATAAATGGGTCAAGTTGTTCAACGGTAGCTCGAGTAAGGTGTCGGTGTCCGCGAGGTCGTCGACCCAGGTGATTTCCCGAAGCTGGGGCGCAGACGACAACAGGTGGGTAACGGGCCACACGTTCGTGTTGCTAACGTCACGCGCATGGAACTCGAAGGCCTTCAAGTTGGGAATATTATTCTGGGCGAGGTCGAGGGAATACATGGGCTCGCAAAAGAGGTGCCGGAAGTCGAACCGAACGTGCTTCCATTTCGGTGCATGTCGGCATAGCACGTCGATGATCCCTTGCTGAGGCCGTTCGTTAAAGTCGATGGCGATGGAAAGATTGAGCGGCTGGTTCCCGGAGCGCGATAGCCAGAGACTGGCGAAGGCGATGTCGTCGGCGGGGTCTTTGTAATTGATGTGGAGGGCGGTCCACAGGTGAGGGAGGGCCAGGGCGAGGTCACGCCAGTAGCCTGACACATGGGTAAGCAGGAGTGGAGCTTCTGTGCGACAGGGTACGGGGAACTGCTCTTGGGGTATGCAGCAAGTAAAAATGTGAGAAAGAACTTCTAGTGGGAGGGTGGAGATGGGGGATGGCTTTGGTGCTGGGGGAATCTGGGGTTGGTCAGTTGAGGGTTCGTCGTCGTCGTCGAGGCCAATGCGGCGAACGAGCTCGGTGATATTGATGTCGAATGCTTGCTCTGGGAGAATTGCATACGAAGACGGGGGTGGGGTCTGTGCGTGGTGAGGACGACTGGCCCTCACCGAGTAATTGGAGCTTTCTAACGATGCCAGTGTGCGGCTAGAATAGATATAAAAGATGGGTGAGGGCGCTCTGAGGGGTTAAAAAGAAGAAGACCGACCGTATATTGGAAATTTCGAGATGGTGGACGCTCGGTAAGAAGAGGGACTGGATGGCAGGGGCGATTCAAACGTGCAAGGAGGGCTGTCGGGAACGGCCAGGCACAAAAGCGAGATCAGCTCTTTGTTTATACCGGAACTGCTGCTGTTTGTAAGTATGTTCTCAGAAAACGAGGGTGGCCAGAAGGCCCATGCCACAGTGCCACTGTAGTAACGATAAGAGATGGGTGTGGGGAATGAAATCTCCTCCTGATGGAGCTCCCCAATTACTAATGAGCGGTTCGGCACGGACACTCCGATGGCCAAGACGCCACCGTCCCACCAACTCCTGCGATAGTGTTTTTGAGGGTGGTGCTCTCTGTACCCCATCTATTTCTTTCGCCTCTCATTGGGAATCTGAAGATGATTCGAAACCCTGAAAGCAAATTGCCGGAGCCGTCGAAGGACTTCTAATGAGCCTTCTCCCCGCCTCTGCTCCATCGTGTTCAGGAAAGTTGACCAGGAACTTCAACGAAGTAAGCCGCCGGCCGTGTTATTTCTAGTTCATTCTCCCACGTCTGAGAACTGACCTTCGACGATAGATAACGGGGTACATGCATATCCAAGTATCTCGACTACTCTGCGTGCGGTGTGGACACTCCGATCTACCGCCCATGAGATATCTTGCCAGAGTCATTGCGGCAGTCCAGGCGGCACAGCCTACACGATGCCCAGTGCCGAAATATGTTCCCGAACTCAGTTTCGGGGTCTCTCTCTGGATTAGGCAATCGTCTTTTTCTCCTTTTTTTTAAAAAAATAATAATAATAATAAAAAATAAAAACCGCATTTCTGTCCCGCAACAGGTAACTAAGTACTACATAAGACGCCGAGTATGATTTAAACTATTATATCTAACAGCAAGGTTCCATGTATCATGAGTAAGGTATCACTATCTCGCCAAATGCACGGCTGTCATAGAGGTTATTAGCACTTCAAATATTCCTAGAACAGCTTGGATGGAGGCCCCAAGCCAATCAGATTCACGCCCTCAGAACTCTAATGTTTCGAAAATGGGTGGAAGAAGGCGTATAGCAGTCGTCCACTAAGACCCCAGTGGCTCAACCCAACCTTTGTATTACAGCTTGCAGAAGTGATCATCACCGAACCCGCAGCGAGAACCCAGGCGCAGTCCGACTCGCCGACACACGGACACGCCAGCGCGACAACGCGACAGCAACGTTAACGAGCTCGAGCTCGAGCGCCAGGTCATCTTCTCGCATAATGGAGAAGCCGACCACTCGGAGTCTGAGGATGAAGATGAGGATGGCCTTCGAGAGGAGAGGAGAAGGGAGCTGACGAACTTAGGTGCATGGCTCAGCCGGTGGACATCGGTGAGCCTCGGCATGAATATCATAACAACTACGAGTTCGTTCTCGGAATCCCCAAATGCAAACACAGAAATCATTGGGTCTATCCCTGGACCTGAGGTGCTACTTTGGACTGCGCTACATTCTGCATCAAGGCGGATGAGATACGGCAGATGAATCAAAGTGAAAGGAGACACACCATGGAAGCCTTGGAAGCTTCGAAGTATTGTAGAATAATACGTCGATTGGCCAAGGGGCGCATACCATCAGAGAAGTATGTCTCCACATTGGCGACAGGCGGGATGAACCTGAGGACAACAGTCTCTTCTTTGGGGTACGTTGACGTGACCAAAGCCTCCAGGAGCTGGGGCGAAACAGGGATGCGATAGAAGATGGGGGCGGTGCCGACCATGGTGATGCCAGGCATGAGAATGAATGGCAGAGTGGGAAGACCCGCCCGCGTACGTCGAAAGTTGTTCTGATAGTAGGCGGCGATGGCCCCGGCGATAAGCTGTGGTTCAGGATCATCAGACGAAGGTTGACGCTGTAAGTTCGGTAAGGGTGTAATACAAGATAAACACTCGATATTAAAGTACTTAAACTCACTTTGTCCTTTTGGATGAGAAGAAGATAATCCAAATCGTTCATGACGCACACGTCGGCCTTGGCATCAACGCTCTTCCCTGCCATGTAGAATGAAATCTCCTTCCTCAGTCGTCGTCATCATAATCCAACATGCGCAAGATGAAGGCAGCGAAGTCATCAACAGCGGATTCTTCGGAGGCTGCCTGCTCTGCAGCCCTTAAGTACTGGAAGAAGTGTCGATCACTCTTCGATAAAGGCCCATCCGGGATGTGGAGGTTGTTGAGGATGGTTGGGAGACAGGCGCTGGGATGAACTCGGTGCTTGCAAAAAAGGCAGGGGCAGTGGCATTAGCTACCCGAATGTTGAAGGCGAGGAGTTCTTTCGTGGTCCAATTGCTCCCAGGCCTGGCGGATCTTAGAATGCTGGCCATCGACGTGGAAAGAAGCGAACTATGTGGGGAATGTCTGCCACTGTCAGCGTTTGCATACTTACATAGAGTATAGAGGTTCCTATTCAGGTTGGTCACGGCCCGTTGGACCTTGGTTGGGATCATTCAAACTCCGATTCGAACCGTTTCGTCAGACACCACCAGCCGCCACCGCTATTGTCGTCGTCATGTTGCCTCCTCTTCCAGCTGACGGTCTTCAAACAGTGTCTCTCGCCTCAGTCGAGGTCGCACTAGCTAAATGAGATATAAAAGCTCCAGTAAACGATATTGTCTCAACCATTCGTGAGGAGGAAGCCAAGCTCATCAAGTCAAGCCAACGAGTCTGAACGTGCTGCTGCACTATCCACATTCCGATCGAAGTATGGGTTCATATTTGCAATTCGCATAACTATGTTATACGCCAAAATTCAGCTGGGCGACAACCAACGCGTGGGGTTTGTAGAAAGGCCGAAGTTGGAAGCTTTTGTGTATGATAAATATACCAGAAGTATTACGTCTACAACACTCTGTCTGACAGGTTTCTTTTGCTCCATAGGTCATATGTTTGGAGTAGAGAACGGGGGTGAAAGATAATACTCGGAAGCTACAATATCCGACCTCGTCGCTGCGAGTTGTTTCCACCTGCAATCCATATGAGTCAGTTTCTCACTAAATTTCTCACTTCAGTTTCCTGTGGGGTACACGTCTGACACAATAATCAAACAAGATTCTGCATGTGGCTTTTTTAAAACCATGAACATGTGAGTTTTAATGTCCGTGGAACGCTTCAAAAGGACAAGTACACCGCTAAGGACATTCCTAATGAACGAACGAAAGGCAAAAATATGGGAGGGTCTTTAAAGGCAGATGAATGAAAATACAGGATCACATGAAATGGCGGAAAGGAAAGTGAGGGAATATGCAAAGATAGTTATGGGCGCTAAAAAAAGACTGACGCTTAACCGAACTGGGCTCTGTCCAGCTTTTCCGCTAGTAAATAATTCTTCTTGCATTTGGAGAATGTTCTCGACTCTGGTAGGCTTTGCGAAAGATACGTACTTTTCCTGGTTCGAGGTTCGACTCTGCAAACTTGAAGCCATCTAGAAATTGTGATCTCATTTAGTTTTCAAGAGTCAGAACTTACATAACGAAGAACACTGAGGTCCTGGTCGTACAGAACAAATCTGACCTACGTCCTCAGCTAGTGCTTGTTGACTTCATATAACCCACTCCATGAATGACTCAAGAGTGAGCACATCTAAGTAGCATTGACGTCATGTACATACCTGTTCGGGGTAGGACCCCGGGACCAAGACGTTGGGTACACACTTGGCTTCTGTTGAGCAGCCTGCTCGCCGTCGACCCCGGATATCGCAAATTAGTCTCCAGCCAACCAACGAACGCGGAGTCCAGTGCCGACCGTATCCAACGATGAAGTCCAGATTACCATGGACGCTGAGGTGGCGGTGGCGACTCGCTCTCGAGCGTCTTGGACGCCCAGATAAATAGCACATACCAAGCACCAACAGTGATAGCAACTCATCTCCCCCAGCTCCGTTATCACAACTGAGCACAGCACACGCCGCGGCATTAAAGACTCGGGAAGCCTGAGGAACGCGAAAGGAGCCAGACACTGAGCACACGCACGTGTGACGTTTTGTGGACGCGACGTGTTTTCCGCTCTTACCACCGCCAGCCAGGATAGTCCGATTGTGACTTTGGGCTGCATCACTCCATATCAACCACCATCTTACTCGGCGCACCCAGAACTCTTCCTGTTACCCACCACCACCTTGATCGCCAGCTTACGATGAAGATCGCCATCCTCACCTCGGGCGGCGATAGCGCAGGGATGAACGCCGCCGTGCGTTCCATAGTCAAATGGGGCATCCTCAAGTGAGTCTCTCCTTCCCCTCTGCCTCAGGAGGCGCGACACTAATCCCTGGTGGACAGAGGATGCGAGATGTGGATCGTGCGCGAGGGCTACGAAGGGCTCGTGCGGGGCAACACGGAGCACGCTGAGCAGGAAGCCCGCGAGGCAAACGCCGCAGCTGCGGAGCAGGTCGAGGAGTCGGTCAAGGACATGGAGCTCAAGACCGAGAAGAACCTGCTGCACAACCTGCGATTTGGCGATGGCGACCTCCTGCGCGATGGGACGAGCGAGTTTGTGGGTGGAAGGACGCTCAAGGGGAGGTATATCGTACGAGTGGGGTGGGATGATGTTCGTGGGTGGTTCTCTGAGGTAAGTTGACGTTTCTTTTTCTCCTTGCTTGTTTTCGGTCTTCGGATTGGAGGCTATATGCACGAGAGCGTGTCATGGTTTTCGGGAACAAACATCCTGCCCTCTCCATCTTGCTATTCTTCTTTCTTCTCGATCAGGTGGGGCAGCTTAGTTGAAATGGGCCCGATTTCGGAGGGGTGTTCTGGAATTCCTCCAAAGGGCCTCTATTCCCTCGATGAAGACGGAACAAAACATTCGGCTCTGCGATGCATGGGTTCATTGATCCGGCTCGTTCTCTCTTTTAGGGCGGAACTCTCATCGGCACTGCGCGTTCAGTCGCGTTCAGGTCACCAGAAGGACGTCGGGCGGCCGCGTTCAACCTCATCAAAGAAGGCATCGACGCGCTCGTCGTGTGCGGTGGTGACGGCTCGCTCACCGGTGCGGACATCTTCCGCTCCGAATGGCCTTCGATTATCAAAGCACTCCGCGATCAAAGTGATACCGTCCCCCTCCCCCTTCTTGACTTGGCTCAAACAAACCCGTACAGACCAGATCACCGAACAGCAACTCGAGAACCACTCGCACCTGCGGCTCGTTGGCCTCGTCGGGTCAATCGACAACGACATGTCGCTGACGGACTTGACGATCGGCGCACCGACGGCGTTGCAGCGCATCTGCGAGGCCATTGACAACATCAACTCGACCGCGTCAAGCCACTCGCGCGCGTTCGTCGTCGAGGTCATGGGCCGCGACTGTGGGTGGTTGGCTTTGTTGGCTGGGGTAGCGTACGTCCCTGTTCTACTTATTTCACTTCGGTTTGAACAGAATGACCGATTGATCTAACCATCTTTCTGCGATTAGTGGTGGTGCGGACTTCATCTTCATTCCCGAACGCCCGCCCCATGTCAACCCTTGGGAGGACGAGATGTGTGCTCAGATCCATCGTGTCAGTGTCTTCCCTTTCAGGTTCCTCGTCAATACTTTGTCCTTACTGCTTTCGTGCAGCACCGCGAAGTAGGCAAGCGCAAAACCATCGTCATCGTTGCCGAAGGCGCGCACGATAGCGAGCTCAATCCCATCCGCGCCGAATACATCAAGGACGTCCTCACTGAGCGCCTTGGGCTCGACACGCGTGTCACAACGCTTGGGCACACCCAGCGAGGAGGACGGCCGTGTGCCTTTGACAGGATCTTCGTCAGTCTGTCTCCTATCCTCGTTCGTGGAATGTTATTCAATACCGTCGTTTTGTCTACAGCCTACTCTCCAAGGAATCAACGCCGTCGAGGCGCTCATGGAGGCGGCTCCCGGTACGCCGACGTACATGATTGGCATTCAGGAGAACAAGATTACCCGTGTGCCGTTGATCGATGCTGTCGAGATGGTATGGCAGTCTCTATCTCTCCGGGTTTTCTTTATTAATGGGCTGCATAGACTAGAGCCGTAGGGAAAGCGATCAAGGAACACGATTTTGACAAGGCGCTCGAGCTCCGTGGAACAGAGTTCCAGGAAATGTTGCAGAGCTTCCAGGCACTCTCATCGTTCCCTGAGGAGAGTTCGAAGTTGCCCGAAAAGAAGGTAACGTTCATTTGTTTAAATTGAAGATCTTCGTTTTGACTCGATTTTAGAGGATGATTATCGGTATAATCCAGTGAGTGAATGCGTTTACCAAGAGGCATACTTCCTTCTAACAACGGACACTAGCATGGGTGCTCCAGCTGGAGGCATGAACGCCGCAACGCGTGCCGCCGTCCGGTACTGCATCAAACAAGGCCACCGCCCGCTCGCCGTGCACAACGGCTTCCGCGGACTGCTCGACGACAACGTCTCCGAGCTCACCTGGCTCGGCGTCGACGCCTGGGCACCGCGCGGGGGCTCCGAGCTCGGCACGAACCGTACCCTCCCTTCCATCGACCTGGGCGCCATCGCCGCCAAGTTCCAGAACTATAAATTCGACGGATTGTTGATGATTGGCGGCTTCGAGGCATTCAATGCGCTGATGATCCTCGAGGAGGGCAGGAAATATTACCCTGCGTTCCATATCCCGATGACGCACCTGCCTGCGACGATCAGCAACAATGTGCCGATGACAGAGTATAGTTTGGGCAGCGATACGAGTTTGAACGCGCTTGTGGATGCGTGCGATGCGATTAAGCAGAGTGCGAGTGCGAGCAGGGATCGGGTGTTTGTTGTTGAGACGCAGGGAGGGAAGTGCGGGTATATCGCGACGATGGGTGCCCTTGCTGTGAGTTTTGATTTAGATTTCGTGGGTCTGTATGCTGACCGTTGGGAAGGTTGGCGCGAGCTTGGTCTATACGCCTGAGGATGGGATGGGGCTGGATATGTTGAGAAGAGATGTCCGATTCTTGAAGACGAGATACAGCTTAGATCTCCCGGGAAAGAGCGAGGGTCGTTTGGTTATCAGGTGTGTATTTTTTTGTTATATCTTCCTTTCTGCTGCAGTAAAATTAATCATTGTATTGCAGAAACGAGAGCGCCTCGCAAGTATACACGACGTCAGTGCTCACAAAGATGTTCATCGAAGAAGGCGGATCACTGTTCGACGCACGTTCTGCCTCCTTGGGACACACGCTACAGGGTGGTGTCCCTTCTCCTATCGATCGTGCACGAGCAGCGCGTCTATCGCTCAAGTGCATGGCGTTCATTGAAAAGCACCACGAGATTCTGTCAAAGACGCCCCCACACAAGTCGCGCCATGCTGAACCCGAAACTGCAGCGATCATCACCATCCAGGCGAACAGCATCAAGATGGTCCCAGTGACGGAGATGGTGCACCATGCAGATATGACGAACCGACGAGGCAAGATGAGCTGGTGGATGGACGTGAAGAACCTGGTTGAGCAGCTGGCGGGCAAGCCTCAATTCTTGGGCATCCCAAAGAACTATCCCTTGACGGGCGAACCAGTCAAGATTTGAAGACCAACAATAAAGATTTTGTAGTATAGTGTTGTAAGTAGACCACAAGAAATACAAAGTGAACAAGGCGCGTTGTCTCAGATTGTTTAATGAGCCGGCGTGGGAAGAACGCGAGGTGTGTTGATGGTTGTTGACGACACGGGTTGATCAGACCCAACACGCACATTACTTTTCCCCCGCTAGCAGAATGGTCGCCCGTCCTCCGCTCCCCCTCAGGTCCGCCAATCCACATATCAAGGACCACCGTGCGTCGCATCCTCACCTCCCTATTCCCTATACTGACTCTTCCGCAGTAAACGCAGCATCTCTCCCGCCTGTGAAATACCAGATCCTCCACTGCCAAGGCAAGGAGATCCTCGTTCGTCCATCTCGCCCCCTTTCTCCGCGTCCGATGCTCACACTGCCCCCTCTTCACAGGTAGGACGCCTCAAAATCGAAACACCCACCGTATGCCACTCCCTTTCTCCGATACCGCTCATCTAGATCTGACACTTCACTCGCAGGAGTCCGGCCATGCTTTCATCCTCCGCAGATTCGACACCGGCGCCGTCAGCCTTACCACCATGTTTCGTGCCGCGTTTCCCAACGCCTCTGACTACGAGGAGAAGGTCGAGATCCAGTGGGTGAAGGAGCACCATGATCTCAGCGGGAACAACGGGTCGACGAAGGATACACACATCACCCGTCTCGCTGGTACCTGGGTCAGCCCGCAGCTGGCGCTTGAGCTTGGGAAGGCGTACTCCCTCGGAAAGATCATCAATTCGGTCGTCGAGGCGGTTCCTGATCCTACGGCGAACTACAGGAGGTCGGGGAAGGCTGCTGCTGCCGCCAATTCGGCCAACACCAATGCCACTCCTGCTGTGCCACCCCCAGCCACGACGACCACAACGATGACCGTCACCGAGACTGTAACGGCTGCCACGAAGGTCGAGGTTACGAAGCCCCCATCTGCCTCCAAGTCGCTCCCAACGCCATCGCCAACTGCTGCGAACCCTCCAGCTAAGCGCCGGAAAGAGTCGTCTCCTGTGCCATCGCTCAGCCAGAGCAGTAAACCACCATCGCGAGCGTCACCGTCTCCCATCAAACCCGCTCCTCCTCGCCGATCGGCACGCACGAAGAGCCCGGCGCCACGCCCCATCGTGCCCCTCACCTCTGTGACCCGGACGCCAAAGGCACCCCGTTCTGCGAAGAAAGACCCAGTGGCCTCCACGTCTCACACCCCAGGCGGCACGGAACTTGCCACCGTAGATGAGGAGAACCTGCTCGTAGAGGACGGCGTCACCGGGTCCGAGCTGCACGACGAGGACATCCGGGAGCAACGGAAGCTGATCAGGGACCTCAAGGCCAAGCGGGACGCTGCCAAGGCTGCTGTCCTCGCAGAAGAGGAGGAGGAGGACATGGATGTCGCTGAGGAGACGTCTGGAGGGAAGAAGCGAGAGCGGGAGGACGAGGAGAAGCCGTTGCAGTTCGAGTTCAAGCAGCCGGAGGGGGAGGAGCGGGCTATCGCGACGAACAGGCGGGTGAGTCGGTTCCACCTGGAGCCGAGGACCAAGTCGTTCGCGTGGGGCGTTGCTGCGTTTGCCATGGGCATGGGTGCTGTGTGAGTGCTCTTTCTTATATCGTCAAACGTTGCTGACCTCTGGTATCACAGGACTTTCTTACCCAACTTCTTCTAAGAGGAGGCGTACAGGTCCTCGAGACTCTGTCGTTTGTTTATCTGTGTTTTCACCCAGCTCTTCCTCGTTTTCCTTCACGGCTCGTCTATCTATTTCACTGCTTCCTCCTCGTTAGTGTTGGTGTTCTTAACGTACTAGTAATGTGGTTGTTATTTCTGTGTACATCTTATATCGCCCTCCTGTGACGCGTACCCTTTTTTCACTTCATGGATCTCGTGGCCGAGGAAGTACGTACCCACCTCGTAGACGTCGTTGCAAAGTCCTGTTTGTCTTATTGTTTTCACCCTTCCATACTTGACTTTGTTCTGGGTTCGTGGCGTGTTTCGTGTTGCATTTCCTATGGCTTTCGTTGTCCTTTATTTCAATGCATTTTTACTTATTAGTTCCAATGTACAAACTTGAAAACTCCCATCTCCTCTGAAGAGTCAGTAATGGATTGTGGCAATAATATTGTAAGTACATGCTCGTTAGATGATTCGCTCCTCGAAGATTCTGATTGCTAGTTCTTCCCAATCCCAGAACCTGGCCTGCACATCAAGACACCACCAGTAGCATACAGGCCCGTGACATAAAGTGCCTTCGACTCTGGATCGAACAAACCCGTCGTCGAACCACCAAACCCGCGCTCGCTCTCGATCCCGTGGCTCTGGAACAGCGTCTTCAGGGTCCACTCCGCACCGTCCTTCGTTATCTTTGTGTTCGTCGACACCGCTGCCTCCAAATCAAAGCTCGCCTCAGGTTTCGCGTCCTTCTCCTTGGGCAGGATGGCAACAACCCACGAGCTGGCTGACGCCCCGGTCTTGTTGGCTGCGACGGCTGTGAGGTCGGGGAAGTTGGGATGGCCTGCGACGACGAGGGCTTCTTTGTGGTTTGGGGTGAGGCCGGGAGTGTATCGGATGTTGTCGGGGGAGAAGGGTACAGTCGCGACATATTTCTTGCGCGAGAGGACGGACGTGGCGGGGTCGCGCTCGAACACTGTGATTTGGCTGAGGGAGGTTGAGACGATGGCGGCCTCCTTGCCGGACTCTGAGATGGCGATGCCGTTGGGGAAGGCGATGAATGGCTTTGCCAGACTCACTTCCGCGATAGCATCGGACGACTCTGCTGTGTTCAACTCGACGTGCAAGACGAAGCCAAGCGGCAAGCCGAGCACTGACTCGATGACCGGCAGAACATGACCCACAATCGGCAGCCTCCTTGTCATCAAATGGTCGTTCGACACATAGAACGCGTCGGGGCCCGTCAGCGCGAGCCCATTCGGGGAGAGGAACCACCTCGAGCTGATCGTGCGCACGTACACAGCCTCCGTCGGCGCCTTTGGGTCGAGCACGAACTGCTCGATGACCGTGCGCTCCCTTGCATGGTTGATAACGTACAAATTCGACTTTTCCCCCGCGCGGGACGGCCAGACCTCCAGGCCCAGGGGGTGGAAGTCGTGCCCTGCCGGATAGCCCTTGAGATCGAGCCGGTGGGCTCTGTTCATAGGTACGTTTGATGCGAGAAGACGTGCAGCCTGTTTCTTCGTCGGATGTGCGTCTGCGCCTGTCCCTGTGGGCGGAACGTAGATCCACAGCGCCCCGCGCGGGTTGGGGTCGCGCATCGGGCCCATGACGGTGTTCCACGACTTGCGGTTCGCATCACAGCTCAGTATCACGGGCCGCTCGACGACCTTGCCCTGCACGTCATGTAGCTCCCAGAACACGGCGTCCTCGCAAGAGTTGAGCGTTGGTGCGTCAGCCGGGTCGGCAGCGAGTGTATTGAGCGTTGTACAGTCGGAGGCGTAGTCAGCGCCGGCGATGTAGCCTGAAGGAAGCGGAGACCGGATGAGGATGCAGTTCTTGATGAGGGCCCCGGAGCGATAGAAGATGATGCCCTGGGGTGTTCGAGATTGCTCAGTGGGCACTGCGAAGGCGAGAATTGCATAGGAGAACTCACCAAGGCCAGGACAACTAATGCCAGCGTTCGCTGTGCTGTCATTGCTGGGCGACTATACTATGTCCGTCACAGCTTCTTCAAGTTGAATGCTGGCTTCCAGTCTTCGACTTGGAAGAAAATGGCACTCCTGGGTGGTGGGAGGGCAGAGCAGGCAGTACAGAGGAGAAGGGGGGTTAGAATAGACTGTGGGTGCAATATAAGAACCGAACCTTATTCATGTTTTATGTCTCACAGCTTGGTCCTGCCGTTCTCACGACGCGACGCGTCATGTTGAACAGTTTTTGATACGGTTGGACAGTTCCGCCGTTCCGAGCCAACAGAGTGAAGAAATAAAAAGAGATCCTTGTCTTGAACTGCTGTGAAGAAAGAGGGCAGAGTATTACTGACGTCGAACGACAGCGTCGAGTTTTCTGCCGCTATGTGCCGCACCTATTCGGGGATAACTTCACGTGCTTCTAACCGCGGCCCGCTTCCTGATCGCTTAAGTCATCGATCGATGGGTGAGCGCTATCGATTCGTGTTGATGCATACTGTAGATGACCGGCATCTCGGTCACTCTACAGTCACCTAAAAATTGCTCGCTGGGTTTGGGGGTTTCGAATAAAATAGCAGTACTACTCAATAGGCAAGCATCTGAAGTACCTGTGCACCAGTTATCAGAAATTTACGGGAAGGTTTGAGGCCTCCATGAATATTTTATTCTGATAGGTCAAAATCGGTCAAAACCAGGAAGTCGGCCAGGCCCCGAGACTAGACCGATTTGTATTGGTCCCGTACACCGGCTGTAACCAGGGTCAACAGTGCTTAGTAAGCTGATGATAAGATAGTTGTCGGAATACGAGGACAGTACTCGGCCACCTTGAATTGTTCTTCAAAGTTGGTCTGACCTACGGGAAAAAAAGCTTCCAATAAAAGTCAAACACCTCTATCATTATCTGGTCCCCTTATTTCATGATACCTTGCAACTTCCCTTGAAGTATTTGATTTGTCATTTCTTATCACTCAAAACGAGGTTTTCTCTTTACTTTGTGTCTCATGCTCGAAAGAAATTTGCAAAAATTAAAGAGACTTCTTTCCTAAGCACCTATCTGGGGCACTATTCTTTTGATGCCTCAATTCATCCCCTAGAGGCTTCGTCACAATATAAATCACCCGGAACAGTCCAACCCACCTCTAAAATGATCTTCCTTCTAATTTTCAATATTGAAAGTGCAGGAATCCGTCCACACGAGATAAAATAACTTGATTATACATTAATTATGATCTACTCCTTAGTTCCAAAGTATTTTTCCAGCAGCCAGTCATGTCGTTGAGAAAAGCCCTCCGGAACCACCAGAAACAGGTTTTCAAATAAGGAAATTGGGTGTCACGCATCACAACAGCCAAAGAGAGGCTCATTTCTCCACGAGGAAAGATTATCTATTCATGAAAAAATGGAATTCCGTTGCTCTTGTACAATTGTACCTGATTATGCAAAAAGAATTGAGTGAAACGAGCAACTGTGCTGTCCACAAAGGCGATGACCGAGTTGTTGGTGTGACCGAGTAACCGGTTACGTACAGTATGCATGATGCCCTATGTGGGCTAATTCAGAGTTCCGACAAAGAAAGCATATTTTCGAAGACGCGATGCTATCGAAATGGTACGTGATTAGAATATCTATATCTCTTTGGGATGAAACGTGAGCGGGCCAACGTAGGCTGGGAATACGACCGAGGTGTCAACAGGACACCTTTCCTCCCCGGAGACGGACTCGGACTTCAAGTTTACAGCGCTTTCCGACTGTAATGAGACTCCGACATTTTTTCCCGCGCGTGACGTACGTCATTTCCTTTTTGGGAATAGTGGTATTCGAGCCGCTGCACCGCCGCGTTCTCGTTCTTCATCTCTTCCTCACTCGCACACCACGCATATATCCATAGAGGATTCCAGCGACGACATCTACGCTAGGGATCCCTCTATTTCCAACTCGGAACTGCTCAAATCCGTGTTTGACGAGCTCGACAGGCGTGATGTAGTGGACACGAGCCCGTCTATCTCTGCCTCCACAGCGGGAAAGCCCAAAGAAGACTTGTCCGAGGAAAAGGGTGCGTCGGAGTCTTCAGAAGATGAAGGCGAGCCATGAGTATATCCTCAATCCTTCTTGTTGACCAATCTGGTGATCAGTTGAAGTTCCTTCCATTGTGCCCAGAGTTCTTTCAATTGCGATTTTCTGGAGAATCTTCCTCATACTAAGTCCTACATCGTCCAATGTATGGTGAAGCGCTAAGATTGAGATATCAATATTGTGTTCAACCGACAACCAGAGGACGAGCTCGTCGAGATAGAGATCTGCCTCCACCTCATAGAGTGATTGAACAGCAGTCAAAACAGCGCGGGTGATAATTCGAGCACCTCCTTTGAGAGAAGACTGTGGCTGCGTCATTGAACCATGCTCCTCGAATGTCTTGTTCCACCGGTAGACGCTTGATCGAGATATCCAAAGTGCATCAACTTGAACAATGTCAGGTATGTCCCGGCCATGATTGTAGAGGCTGAGGGCACACTCCTTGAGGTCAGTGCTGATTCTATGGTTTACCATGGCCGTGAACGGTTACTGGAGTGAGAGGGCGAGGGGGAAGCGAAGCACATCCTCCCTCGCACCAATGAAACACGCCCCGAGGCGAACGCGAGGGCTGTTCCGAAAAAGGAAATGACGTACGTCACGCGCGGGAAAAAAATGTCGGAGTCTCATTACAGTCGGAAAGCGCTGTAAGAAGAGACCTTAATTTTAAGAATTTCTCGAAGGCGCACAATTGTGGTTCCGTGATACGATGAATATTATTGTGCGCCACATTGTCCTCCGACTCGGAGTTGCTAGAGTCGACGCACCGGAAGGCGATGTCCAGGTTCTTTTACATTCGTACCCCTGGATCCATTGATCATCCGCGCGTGTCAGGTTTCGCGATACCTTCGTCACAATCGCGGAATGGAAGGAGAAGATATAAGCAACCTTCAATGGGGGGGTCAAGTATTCTTTCATCTGCTATCTTCTTACGACCACTATGGTACACGCGCGCTCTCAGTCTCTCTACTCAACCGCAGGCGCCGGGCTGCTCGGGACCTACCTTTTTACAGCCTTCATCATTGGAGAACGACTCTGCTTTTCCCTGACGTAAACAATCCCCAGGTTATACGGTTTGACTCTTCTCCAAGCCTCTCTGTACTTTCACAAGTACTGCAGAAATGAGGAGCGCAATGTGCGCATTCTGGTAGGCCGCCATGATACGATATATAATTCATATAGCCTACCCAAATCCAGCAATTTCTGACACCTCTTCTCGTCTGGCAGGTCTCTGTGATGATCACGGGCTTTGTCACGGTCCTTGTTCAGGAATTTTATGCACATCGTGCATGGATAGTATTCAACTTGATTGGGTTCATTAGCGGAGACGAACTGACCGGCTTTGTTTTATAGTAAGCGAGAAGAGACTATGGACTATAGGAGGAGGCTGCTGTTTTATTTGATCACCCGATCCGAATTTCGTGTCTCATGGGATCAGACAACAATTTGTAATTGAGTACACGTGTTTCGAACTTGGATGCTTGCTGTCCTTTCTTGGATAGGCTTGCTGTCCTTTCCTTAGCTACCGTAATCTCTAGTGAATAAGGTGGGTCAGAACCGATGGTAGTCTCAAGCCTTGATCGATGGTAGTCTCGTAGCTTTAGGTATGAGACCCTTGGCACAATTCAGTTGCGCCCCATCATCATCATTTGAATTTCTATTTATGGATCAGACTAAATACAGAGCATGATCTCGTCAAAAGGAAGGACCACTCTGACCTCGACTTTATGCCGATTCGTTGAGAATTCCCGCTCTCCTCACGTCTCGGGTTTCACGACTTGGAAAAAAAAAAAAAAAAAAAAACCGGGCTGCAGACGACGAGCAGCGCTCGATAGTTGGGAAAAGCACTGCCCACCTTCGTTCGTAAAAATAAAACCAATATATAATTGTCTCTCAATTCCGAAGTCAGACCTTCCTTGCCTGCCATTTATCCCAGCTCCCCTTCGCGATCTGCGATTCCAACCATCGGCCCCTGGTTGATTGCCTCGTACCTTTTTACGATGTTCGTCATCAAGCTTGAGGTCTGAAAAGACTTCTGACTTCTCTTCCCCCCAGATTGTACGGTCTCACACTCTTCCAAGCGTACTTATATGTTCGCAACTACTGGGGACGCGACAAGCGCTACGTTTCCGTTTTGGTACGCCGCTCACGAGGACTCACGAGGTGAGGGTCCATGGCTCACAATCCTTTCATGTGGCTGTTCTTATGTGAGCTTCCTTGAATCAGGCTTCGTTTCACGAGTGTGGACGAATCACATTTCAATGTAGCGCTCTAGATACTGCAGAGCTCGCAACAATCGCGCATTGGATGTGGTATTATGTTGTCGAAAATTACAATAACCCGCAAGCCTTAATGACGATACAATGGAGTGTCTTGGTGCGCACCAAAATAATCTTGCCTCAGGGTATTTTCTCACTTGCTGCTGATCAGGCTTCCATTGTGCTTACGGGTGTTATCGCGTTCGTTGTCCAAACATTCTACGCGTACTGTGCATGGATACGTAAGCCGGTTCCTGCCACTCACGAGCGGATTGATGATATTACACTTGACTGCGTCTTTTCTTGACAGTAAGCGAGAAGAAATTATGGGCGATTCCCATCCTAATTATTCTGTGCGGCTTGGCATCTCTTATATCTGTCTCCGGTAAGCAGATGAGGATGACTTCGCACTACTATTTGATGCAGGTGGCTCATGATGTCGATCCAATCCCATAGTATATTATGCTTTGCTATACAAGGAAGGGCCATTCAACCATTCCTCCAAGTTTACGGTGAGTCGCCCAGTTTCAAGCCACAGGGCCTTTTAGAGTGAACGCTATCATGGCAGGGTGTTCTAGGGATGCGAGTGAGCTATGGACTAACACTTGCTGCCGATATTATGATCACTTGTACTATTACCATCCTCTTGATGACGCGGCATAAGGCTGGGTTGAGCATAACCCAGAGGTGTGTCGCGTCAATCTCTGCTACCAGAATTCTCATTGACGCCACCCCACCAGGACTTCCGAGTTAGTGAGCAAACTTGCCCTCTATACCATCAGCGCAGGACTGATTCCAACATATGTATTCGCTCACCTCCAGCATGAATTTGTTCCACTCATTGGATCTATCAGGGTATTTTGCACGACTTCTCTCATTTTGGGCATAGCACTGCCAGATACGTACTATGAGTCCTTGCTTTCCACCCCCCTCAGTGGGTGTTACATCAATTCAATGCTCGCCTCTCGAATCGAATCTCAACTGGAAAGCGGAGACGTAGTTAATATTTATACGAAGCGATCCTGAGTAGGTCCGGTTACCGTTCTTCAGATCTGTGGTGCCATAATTTTGTTGCAACCTTATCTCTGGAACTTCTAGGTGGCACGCCAGTCGAGACAAACAGAGTTGCGTGCAACGTCGTAGTAAGGAGGAATCAAGGGGTGGTCGCACCAGCCAGCTGGGCTATTTTCTGACTGCAAAGGTGTAATTCTGAGCGAGACGGACTAAAAGGAAGAACATGAAGGGGTCAAGTCACCAGATATGACAGAGGGTGAATTTCTCGGCCACTAGAGATATCAATCGGCCTTCGGGACGACCTTCGCTCCTGAAAGGAAAGTCCGCTAGGCTATTTTTGCCTTCAGTTTTCACGGTCAATCTTCGTGATCCCTCGAGGCGTCGAAGTCGAAGGTGCGAGATCGATTGCTGATGAAAGCGAGTAGTGTAGTAAGAATAGGCTGATACATGGGCGCCGAACAGCAGTATTGACCGTCCTCGTCGGGTGCACCTTCAGACGCCTTGCGCTCGTTCAATCCATGGGGGCCTGATTAAGGGAGTCCAGCCAGTGTTCGACATTTTGACAATTTGGTTTTGTGAGAGACAGGACGGAGCAAGGCGAAGAGACATAGACAGTGCGATCCAAGAATGATCCGGGCTGCTGGACACATGGACACATGCCCAACACCTGCCAGGATAGCATATGCGACAAACGCGTGAAAAGCCAGGAAGCACATAGTACTTGGGCGTGATGGATGCGTATCACTGAACAAGGACTCTTCAGAGGTGGACTGAACGAAAGGTTCAGGAGGGCGTTGTGTAATGGTAAGAAGCTTCGTTGAGTCTGAAACAAGATGGCGTCGAGCGTAGATGGCTGATGGAATGGAAAGTGAAGAAGTTAAAGACGTAAAGGAACAACAGTTGAAGCGTGCGCTCACCCAGTCCACCTTTTGTTTACACTTTTCGGCCACGGGCAGATCCATATCCCCCAGGATCGTCTGTTGGGTCATGGGTGGCGCAGGCGCTTCGAATTCGTATAACGCCAGAGCAGGCGTCTTCAGTTGTTTCATCATTTTCCTTCAGAAGTCTTAAACGTTGAGCATCCCTCCGACCATCATGGGGTGAAGAAGCCGCAGGCAACTGGTTCGGTCGTCGTATTCATCGTGGATTGCAGCCTTGGGCTTCTTCGCTATCGGATCGTATGCGCAGAAGATCAGTTGAGGCGTTGTGGGACATTCTATAGCCTACTTGAGTTCCCTATGCAAAGGTGCACCAGGGAGTACGGGCGTCTGGGACACTTCGGCCATGCAAGCATCAAGTTCTAGCTCGAGGTCGCCTAGGAATTGCCATGACTAGCCCGCCAAAGGAGCTTTCATGGACTGTGCATGATCCAGCATGAATTTTAATGATATCGGTATCAATCAATGTCGGACGACCCAACTTTCCCTGTGCCCCACATTACGAGCTATGTTTACTTGCCTCCAGATTGGAGGTTGATATCTCGGTCCAAACGGCCAGGCGCTGTCCAGAGTCATCGCGTCAGTAGTCAGCAGCGAAGGAGGATGTTGGGATGAATGAACGCCAAGGAGAGTTTACCCCGTCTGAATAGTCATTTGACCGGAATGTAGACATATGGGTCGAAATACACTCATCGCTATCGCCGAGTAAGGGAGGTGTTGAGGCGGAAGTGCCCTGTTCACATGGCAGCGGAGGTGAAAACGGCCACGGCGAGTCGACCGCCCGGAACGCTGGGCTCCGGGCGCATTTCTGGCTCTGTCCCCTTCCGTCACCATCCCTTTCCCCGAAAGCGGTTTTTCTTCGCGAAGCCTTTTCCCAGCGGTCCCACATTCGTTTTCACCACAGACTACCGTTTCTTTCACACCTTGACACGGCATTGCCATCATCGTGCGCACGCCCAGCCAACTGTCGTTGTCTCCTTACTGCTTCTGTTCTCGACATCGTGTGGCTCGATGTTTGTATCCTGTTCTATGTCCTCTTGAATCCCTTTTCTACTCGCTTCCGAACGCTGGTCCCTTCTCCCTGTCTTCCTATCTCCCTGCGTTCCCCGTTCCCCGACCTTTGAACGGATACCGGAAAACCACCTGCTCTATTCTCGCTTTCCTCCTTTCGAGCCCTCAGTTTACGACGTATCTACCCGCAACATGTCTTCCCCAAGCCCTGTTCACATCAAGGATACCTTCGGTCCGTCAAGTGCGAGTTTCTTTACGTGCCTTGATGACTTATCTTGACCCAGGCGCTATCTTCATTGGTGCTTTGGTTACAATGACCATCTACGGGATCACGACCCTACAGGTGCGTCCCTTACTTTAACTTATGAACGGTGTCTGAAGTGTGGACTCGGCCAGGCCTATTTCTATTATTTGTCATTTCCTCAGGATGGAATAAAAACTAAGTTATTGGTGAGTCGAAGCTGTTGTCGGTGGACTTTCGGTCGCTGGACACTGACAGCGTTGCAGGTCGCCTCCATCTGGTTCGTTCGTCGTTCGTGCTGGCGACAACTTGAGGGCCGAGTCTAACTTGTTGGTGTTGTTCAGGATTTTGGATACTATTCACGCCATCTTCAGTGAGTGAAATATCTCCCATCGTCCACTGGATACGCACTAACCCGGAAAAGTGTGTCATGCCCTACATTACTATCTCGTACGATTCACCCTCGCCCCCTTGTCGGAGCGGCACCCACTGAATCCCCTTGCTCTAGATCGACCAGTTCGGGAATGCAGCAGCTCTACGAGACGGGACCTGGTAAGTAACGTACTACATCGCAATGACACGAGGCTAACCTGTCTGCAGGACAGTATTTGTGAGCACTTCTAACAATGGCCGCGGTCAATTGGAGAACTGAAAGGGTTGTTCCAAAGATGTCAATAGCAATCAACGTGAGTAACCTCTCTATTGATGATCCACGCCCGTGTCAAGCCTGAAGGACAGGTGATTATGGCATTCATCGTCCAATGGTATGCATCATATCCTCCTCCTTTAATGCGTACCGAATGACCCCCTTTCAAACAGCTTCTTCACACAACGGATATTCAAGCGTTCGTCAAAGCTTGCTTGTACTGCAGAACAATGTGTTGATCGCCCTGAATTGCTGTAGTAAGTCCACTAGATCGACGGTGGTGGATTGCTGGCATCATCGGGTTTTTCGTATTTGCGCATTTCGGTGAGCCCCGCTCCCTCTATGAAGTAAGGGGAAGTTCTGACGGTCTTTGATTCACTAGTATTCGGAATTCGTAAGCATTTGTTCGTCTACCCCTTCGCTCATTGCGTGCTCATAAGGCCGTCTCAGAAACTGTTGTTTATCTGTGCGCAGTCAAGCCCTGCTCCAACTTATCTACACGCTAACATCCTCCGTAGATTCATCAAGAAGCAATTTTCCAGGCTAAAGGAGGTCGCGGTATGTTTCTGACTGGCTGTATGCGCTTCCTATATCTTGTTGATCTCCATATCTCCAGCTAAATAATGCTCTGCCATTCGGGATCAGTGCAATCATATCAGACATTACTATTGCCGCCGCTCTTTGCATGCTCCTACGGAACAGTCGGACGACCTTCGAGGACACCAACACCGTCATAAACAGGCTCATAATCTTCGCCATCAATCGGTGTATTCTTACATCGTAAGTCGCCATCGTTTCGTGAGCATAACTATGCTTGATATTGACAATTTGCAGCGCCATGGCTATTCTTGAGACAATTGTATTCACCGTACTCCCCAACTCCTTCTACTCACTCGCAATAGATTTCGTCATCGGAAAGCGTGCGTGCCACCTCTTACGATAACGACTAAATTCAGCTAATGAGGTGCTCCATCGGCGAAGTGTATGCCAACTCATTATTGGCCGTTCTAAATTCGCGGGCTCGCCTGCGGAGTGGGACAACCCAAGAAGAGTCAAGTGCCACGGAGATGTCGCTGAGGTTCAACGTGACCTCCGCTGTGGCGAACCACCAAACGAGCCTGCTTCAGGTAGGTGTCCGGCATCCTTCGGGCTTCGGTTTGTCCCAATGGGTCCCTCTAGGTCCGCACACGGGACAGAGACAGCCTCAGACGGAGTAACATCGCAGACGAAGAGAAGGGAGATCAGCGGATAGTAACGGTCAGCGTAAGTGAACCCAACGGAAAGGAGCGTTTCATTCGAGTTGCATTAATTGACCTTCTATTCGTAGACGACCGCGAGCAATCACTCAAGAAAGGACGGCCGAACGCTGGACGAGGGTTTGGCTCTGTAACAAGTGTACTATAGGCTATAGATAGCTGGAGAATTGAGTGGGTTGGAGCGAAATCACGCCAGCTGAGAGGGAGCATATGACTGCGGTGTGTCGATTATGAAGGCCAGAGGCTGGCTGAAGATGTCCTGTCATCGGGGTCAACATCCTTTTCCTGGCTACGTACTGGGCTGTTGCGACCGATTCTTTTAGTCTTTTCTCACTCTCATCTGCTCTCTGCGAAGTGGCTTTTACGCTGGTGTTGGAGTTGTTCCTGCTGCTCCCTATTTCGGTAACTGGCATACCAAAAACGGCTGGTCCTATAAAGGTCTGCAATTATGTACAGGGGTGGATGTGCATCTAATCATCGAGCCATGAGTTATTCTCTTCTGGTCGTTGAGAACTTCAACTGTAGGACGAGTCTCGAAGTACTTCATGTCAGTGAAGGCATGGCCTGTCAAAGGGAAGCAGTAGGCGAGAGCAGGTAAAACATTCTGTCATTACGTTTATCTGAATTGTCTGCGAAAAGCTAATTGAAATCCAGTGGCACTCAAGCTTGTATTTATCATCCTGCGCTCACTTTGTCATAACGCAGACGGCCTTGAGTGCACTTCTTCCAATTGTCCTGAAAAAGACGGTCGACACGCTTGAGTGTCTGAATCCTGATCGTCCAGCAGGATTATCAACTTGGCCGGGTGGAGGATAGCTATCATGTCCTTTCTCACTGTTGCCTACGGTCAGAGAGCGGTATCACGCAGAGAGACTGCATAGACATACATGTAACTTTACCAACGTCAGTGGCTGTCAATTTCTCCAACTCCCCCCCTTCCAGGCCCTTGCAGTACTCAAGTGGATCGAGCTGAACAACCGTCAGTTGGGCTTCGTGTCCGTGATTGTCGTCTTACCCATTTCAAATCTACCTTCAGGTTGGGGAAGGAGTAATCCGAGGTTGGCGAATATGCACACTGTCAGGGCCTATCGCGGTCATGGGTGTACAAGATGGTCTTCCGGATCCGAATCAAATTTCTCATTGCGTCCGTCCCTGAGTATGGCCATGTTTGGCTTCGCCGGGAAGTGAGGTCACTGGCTGGAGCGGTCCGTCGATGAACTGCATGCACCGCCCGTAGGCTGGTGTCCTTTCTTTCCATCCCCCAATGTCCTCTGCCCCGAGCAGGTTTATCTTCGTTTTCGTCCTCATCCTAAATTTCATCCTCTGGTCGCGCAGTCGCTACGGACAGCCGATCCAAGCCAGCCTGTTCCATGGTGGTGAAGCCAGCCTCGTGAAGCGGATATCGTATGAGCTATCGCAGCCGCAGGGAACGCTAGTATACCCTTCGGAGGACAAGGTGTGTATCTCTTGGCTCTGTTCTATTTGAAACGCATTTGCTCATCCCCGATGTCGCCAGTGTCGCCCACTCGCCTTCCCTGTCGAGGCCCAATGCAAACATGTCCAAGAGGATTGCCCGGAATCCGACACTGTCCTTGACATACACTATCTCCAGTACTATTTCTGCACAGATGCCAAGCTGCGCCCGCTCGTCTTCACGGGCCTCATCTTCTGGCTCATATTCCTCTTCTCCACACTGGGAATCAGCGCATCCGACTTCTTCACTCCCAACCTCGCCACCATCGCTCAGTTGCTGGGACTTGACGAAAACGTCGCCGGAGTTACTTTCCTGGCATTCGGGAATGGCAGCCCCGATGTCTTCTCGACGTTCTCTGCCATGCGTGCCAATTCCGGTAGCCTGGCAGTCGGCGAACTGCTGGGGGCAGCGACGTTCATCGTGTCGTGTGTCGTAGGCTCAATGTGCATCATCAAGCCGTTCCAGGTTAATCGCACACCATTCCTGCGGGACGTCGGCTTCTTCGCTGTCGCCGTGAGTCTGGTACTCTTTACGCTCTGGGACGGCAAGATCTCCGCATGGGAGGCAGGTGTTTTGGTCATCCTGTACCTGGTGTATGTGTTTGCGGTCGTGGTCGGATCGTGGTGGGAACGCAGGCAGGAGCGTAAGCGTCATATGGAGGCTCTTGTTCGTGCGGAGTATGCAGAGGACCAGGTGTTCCCAAGATACACAGATGATCGTGCGTTCGCTATTTTCCCTAAAGCGTTGTATTTACCATATATTCCGCAGCTGTCCCGACTCTCAGCGTCATCCCCCCAACTCCCTCAAGAAACCGAGCAGTATCAGCTCCTACACCCCCCCGCCTACAGATAACTGTACCCCATCAGCGTCATCACTCAAGATCACCTTCTCCCCTAGGCCACCCCGCTCAACTACCATCTTTCTCCCTTGTTGGTGCTCTCGAGTTTCGTGATGTCGTAGCAGCGCTGAAGAGCGAAGCTGCGGGAACATCCTTGGGCATGTTTGAGACGCCAGTGACACCTTACGCTGGAGGGCACTACCACTCGCATCGAACCTCAAGGACGTCTCGCTCTTCTCTGAACTCGAGTATAGACGAAGAGACCCTCAATGGTTTGCAATTAGGCGAGCGACCCTATGCGTCATTGTCCGACCGTGGTAGACATGACCGCGAACGCGAACAGAACGATTTCCTCTCCACAGAGCCAGGCGACTACTTCAACCTGCACACGTCGCCCAGCCAACAATCTATCCCCTCCATCCTGCGCACTCCAGCATCGCCATCAGCAACAATTTCAGATGTCGACACGGAGGAGCAACTTTACACCCCACCAACGAAACGGCAGCGCGTCTGGCGGGCACTCGGGAGCACCCTGCACACGCTCTTCCCTACGTTCCATGAAATCAGCAAGCAGAGCTTCGCATCACAAATTGCGTGCATCCTCGCTGCTCCGGCTGTGCTCTGCCTTACGTTGACGCTGCCCGTTGTGGTGACCCCGCATGAGAATACCCTGGGTTCTCGAGAGAAGAACGCGAATCCCGAGGCCCGACTGGTCGACTTCGAGGAGGAGGGCACCGAGCGGATTCTCATCGCGGAAGAGGAGGTCGAGGAGAACATCCACGAGCTCACGTTTAACAAGTGGTTAACGGCGACGCAGTGCGTCTTGGGACCGTTGTTCTGTGTCGAGGTTCTCTTTGGTAAGATATACTCTGCGTCCTCCGCTGGCTTCTCTGATGTCGACGATCCTTTCACAGGTAGCTCGCCTCGGCTCCTGTGGCTCCTGCTGGGAACCGGGGTAGCTGGTCTAGCTGTTGGTATTCTCGTCCTCTTCTTCTCTGACAAGGGAAGCAGTCCTGCTGCACGTATGGCACGCTGCTCCATGGGCTTCTGCGTAGCCATTGTCTGGATCATGGCCATCGCAGACGAAGTCGTCAACGTTCTTCAAGTACATATCCCCTCTCTGTCTTTCGGCATATCTGCTGACTCTTACTTCCCTACAAACAGACCTTCGGCCTCATCTTTGGTCTCTCTGACGCCATCATTGGTCTGACCATCTTCGCTGTGGGCAACTCTCTAGCTGACCTCGTTGCGAATATGAGCGTAGCAGTACGTATTCGCCGTCCTTCTCGAGTACGTTCTCAACGGCACGCTCCAACAGGTGTTCGCCCCCATTATGGGTTTCTCAGCATGCTTCGGTGGTCCCATGCTCAACATCCTCCTCGGAGTTGGCGTCTCTGGGTCGTACATCATCAGCCAGACGGCAGAACCGTACATCCTCAACATCTCTACGACACTCTTCGTCAGCGGGTTCGGCCTTCTCTTCTTGCTCGCAGCTACGCTGGTCTTTGTTCCGCTCAACGACTACATGCTCACACGAAGATGGGGTGTACTCCTGATTGCGACATACGCAGTGATCATGACCATTAATGTCATCGTCGAGCTCAAGAGTTGATCAAGTTTCTGCTGCTTTCCCGCATTTATGTATTGTTTATGCTATCTTGGACTTATTGCATCTCATCGGGGGCCCTCTGTACACTTCAACTGAATACCACACGCATACATTTGCACAAAATTTATAGACGATTAATCAGCTCTCTATCTTAGTGCAACCTGTTCAAGATTCGTTTTGGTCATAACACTATTTGTCGCATTTCTGTCCTATTCCATGGCGAAAGAAAAGGGTGTATGAACAAAAAAATCCGACCTGCCTGGCTCGAACAGGCGACCTCAAGATGATATGTTATCCAATTACAGTCTCGCGCTCTTCCAACTGAGCTAAGGTCGGCTACGCTTGCAATGCGTCCTCGAGCATTCATATCCGCAAATAAGGGCAGTATCTCCCATTTAAGATAGTAATGTGCTAAGGTAAATAAATAGTGATATGTAGTTTTTGTACAACGAAAGACCCCCCTCAATCCCCACCCCAATCGAAAGAAGAAATACTGTGTCTACAAGAACATCGCGCCGAGAAGACCCAAAACACCCACAATGCCGTAGCTGCCGATGTTGACACGGGATTCGGCTCCCGAAGTGTTGTTGTTTGTAGCTACTCCAGTAGCAGAGGAAGTAGCAGCGGGAGTGGTACCAGCAGCTGCAACGGCCCTCGAGGTGGTGCCAACGGCAACAACAGCAGGGGTAGTGGGATGCCTTCGAAGAGAGATATGGTAAGAGATGGTAAGAGCAAGAATGCCAGGCCGAGACAGCAGAAACGAAACATACGCGGCACCCGGAGCAGAAGCGACGCTGGCGGCGTGGGTGGAAGAGACTGCAGCACCGGCGGGCGCAGAGGCGGACGGCGCACTACCGGCCGAGCCTGTGGAGGTGCCATCAGTCGAGTCTGGCGCGACCGGGACGGTGGCATCAGTGCTACCAGTGATGCAGCTAATGAGAGAATGTTAAGAACAAATATTTTCGTCTGGTAGAGCAGTATGCTACCTTTTATCGGTGCTGGTCTGGACGGTAACGGCATCAGTGAAGGCCGTCAAGCCAGTCGAGTCCTTCAAAGCGAAGGTGCTGAGATAGATGAAGCAGGTCAGCTGTGCGTAAGCATATATCAGGTTACATACACGCTGGTACCCTGAGCAATATCGGAAACCCAAGTGACAGTGTTGCCAGATTGCGGGGGGAATGACTTGAGCTATTCCCAAAAAGTAACATTAGATACCGGATTGGGTAGGCCTGTGACGTCACTCACTGGCTGCGCGCTGGCTTGTCCACCTGTGGCGAGAGGGGGTCAGGAAACCCTGCACAGAATCTCCGAAGGTGTACGAATTATACGTACCAGGGATGATGGTGAGGTAGTATGGCGGAGAACCGCCCTCAAAAGTCAAGAGCGTGGGTTCTGGACTCTGCAAATCAGCCGGTGTCTGTAACTCGGTGGGGAAAAAGAATGCGTACGGCATTGAACCACGCCAATACTGTATGCAAGGCAGGCACGTTAGGTTTATTATACGGCAGTATAAGAAATTTTGCTGACGGGGTATTAATGGTCAAGGCGAGGACCGAAGGGACGAGGGCGACGAGGGCGGCGGTGGCGGCGAAGTACTTCATGGTGCTAGTGTTGTTGGCTGAAAGGTAGAAACGAAAGGTATGAAGGCTGTGAGAGACTCTAGAAAGAAGAAAAGTGGTAGAAGCTGATAAAGAGCGAAGAGCGAGGGCGAGGGACTTATATATGTACCTCCCCAACGATCGGGTGGTCAGCCACAAATATTTGTTCGCCACCTTCGACGATCGAAATTCCACAACCAGTCAACCGCAGAATGGCGGCGGACGACTATAATTATATTGCATGAGGCTTGTAGAGATGCATCAACTGCCATGACACAGAGTATCGAATCCTGAGCGTTTGAGCGTTGAACCGCAGTGGCGGAAGAAGCCCCGATCCTCCGAGTTCAACCCCCTTTAGTCGACGGTTGGGTTGAGGTATCATTTTTGGGTATAGGCGTGTACGCGTCGCTCGTATGAAAGCCGCCACCTCCAGGCCCAGCGCCGTCGACCAAGGTTCGATCCGCGTCAGCGTCAGCCTCAGGCGTCAGCGTTCACGTTCAGCCTCCAGCCTCCTCCACCTAGTCCAAGCTCACAGCCCAATCCAACTGCTCCTCCCACCCGGATTATGCAAGCTCGTATGCCCAATCTTCACAATCTCATGCGTCACCCCTCCATTACCGTCACCCACACCCAGCCTCGCCGTATCCAAGTACAAGTTCTCCCTTGAGTCCGCGAGCGGGCTCGGTGCGCTCATCGCGAACGACGAGAACGATGGCGTGGACGGGAAGCTCCCGCTCTGGGCGAGGAGCTGCTCCTCGGTTGGGCTCGTGGTGAGCGCAGGGACGCAGATGAACGACTCGGCGTGCCATTCGTACCATACTTGCCGCTCGTTCGTCAGTCGCCAGATTGAGACCTGTAGTTCGGAGTTGCTGGGGAGGTAGAGGGGTTCCTATATGCGGGATTTTAGTTAGGCGGTACTGTCTTCGGTTGCATAGAATAAATGGACATTACCTTGAACGGGAAGAACAGAGGGAACCAGCTCAGCATGTCTTTCGATACCTGGTCTTTTCGATGTGGGTGTATGCTAAGACCTACGTTCCCATACAACACCTGGGCGCACAAAGACATGAGGGATTAAATGAATGAAGGCGGACACCTTGGCCCACCGCTTCGAAGTATCCTGCAAGACCACTATATGCCAATTGTCAACACAGCGCATACATGCAGTCAATAGCTCTCCCACGCACTGCAGAGTCCCCGCATGCGGGATATAAAACCGCATCGTCGCCGAGCGCGCATTATGGCTATTCGTGAAAGGCAGCCCTTCAATGCATCAGCTCCTGCTTCTCCTCGACAAGAGCAATACGACTGAAAGGACTCACCTCTCGCATCGAGCACCGCTTCCCTCCTCGGATGCTCAAACTCCCAGCACTCTTGTACCTGCGGGCCACACCGCCCATCGATCGTCGCCTTCGTCCCGCTCAGGATGTTGACTGCCTGGAACATGACGACGTACGGCGTTTCGAGGCTCTTCTCATTCTTTGTCGACCGGGCCTCGTTGTATAGTTTTGACGAGGATAGAGGTGCTAGGTGCGCAGTGTATGATGAGGGTATCGATATTCCATTCGCTAGAAAAGAAAACGCCTCTAGCTAGGAATTATTTGGGAGATGCGTCTGGGACGAACGTTTTAAGAACCTCACTGCCCCGTCGAGACATTCAGGACTGAGCTCATTATCGCCAAACGAGCCCAACAGCTCGCTAACAAGGATGTCCGCCTTCTCGGGTACATCAATGACACGCATGTCGCCGAAGATGAGGTGGATGCTGTTGCCCCACTCTTTTTGCTTTCTTTCCTGCAATCTAATTCCTCTGAGAAATTCATTAATCGGAGAGAGGACGACAATACGTACGTGACGAAGGCGTTAGAGTTCTTCTCAACTGCCATGACCGTTGCCTCGCGTCGAGCCCTGTTGAGTGCATTGAAGCAGCGGGCGACGAGTGGGCCTCTGCCTGCGCCTGCCACACATACCACGCTGCATATACATAACCAATATCAAACCAACGACGATCAAAACATGAACAGGAAGAACAACCAACAACTGACATCTTCTCTCCAGCCGGATGATCGAGGAAGGCCCTGTACATCGCCTTCTCCGACGTCAGAACGAGGATCCCAATCGAATAAAGATACAGCCAACACACTTCTTCATACAACGCATATTTGACAGGATCTTGCTCGAACGTCTGGTACGTGATGCTCGGAAGATTATCCATCAGTGGCTATGAAAATGAAAACGCGTCAATAAGAGAGAAATTAATGAACGTACCTGCAACGGCGCCTGTAGATAATCCTGGTATCCCTTCGCGAAGTTCTCGACGGTGCCTTCCTTCTTGACAGCCTGCACCGCGGGGCTCGTCTTCTCCAGATGCCGCACGTACTGGGTGTATGCGGCCTCTCCACCGCGTGAGTGATGGCCTTCGCCGACACCTCCGAGGATGATCGTGGGTTGGTGCTACAAAAAGCGTAGTTCAGATACCACTGAAGAGAGTCGTCCAAGAGTACAGGAAATAGACTGACGATCATGCTGTCCCGAATGAACTGCTGCGTCGGCTTCGGGAGGACGGGATACCCCTTCGTGTTCGCGATAAACGTCGACGAGGGCAAGAAAATATGCCGTACAGACTCGGCAGCCCACTTGCTGAGCACACCGAGTGTCGTAGGTAGCGCAGGGGTGAGGTCAAGGGCTGCGAATCAGAATAAAACGTCAGGAATAAAGACTATCCTGAAGCAGAGGCTTCATTGAGAAATTACTCACTCAACGTCAACCGCGGGTTGTAGTCACACATCGACCGTATAACATCCCACATCTCCCAAGTCGCGTTCAGCGATGCACCGGACCCTCCTTGCCCCGGCCCTTGTCCATGACCATGCCCACTGCTCTCCCCCACCTCCGAAACGACCAACGACGGCGTCCTCGGCGTGCCTCCCGCTCCCGTCTGCAAGCCCTGGCTCGACACCGACAAAGCGGGCGACGCAGGGTGGAACGCAGCGATCGGCGACCCAGGATGGTTGAACACCTCGGGGTTATAGATTGGGAGTCGGACGGAGAGGCTGATGTAGGGCGATCGGGCGAGGCACGCGGAGACGATGCGCGCGTAGGACGCGACGTGGTTGCGGTTCCGGGGTGCGGGGAGGATGGCGGTGTTGATGTTGAGGTAGGTTGCGTAGGCGAGCTCTTGTTGGAGGGCCTGGGAGTCGGAGAGCCGTCAGCACCGGGAAGCGGACGGGGTGAAGCTGAGAGGAGAAAGCTCACGATTTCAGCGTCGTGCCGCACCCCGTCGTCCGACGAGTCGAGCTCGAGCCAGTCAGAGATCATCGCGACGACGCCCTCGGCCTCATCTGACAACGTACCATCGTCAACACAATCACGAAGCAACCCACACACACGAGAGTGTACTCACCCAACCGTGTAATCGTCACCTCGTCCCTCCTAAACCCAGGAGCGAGCCTCCAGGCCTCCGCCGCCCTCGCCTTCTCCTCCTTCCTCCTCTCCTTCCCTTCCCCATGCAAAACATCAAATACATCACCCCCCTCCACCGCCTCCGACACCAAACACATCTCCTCCCACCGTCTCCTCCACTTCTCCGTCGTCAGCGGGACGCACACCCTCCTGTACCCTTTCGCCCTGGTGTCCGCCAACAACCTCAGGACGGGCGTCTCGTAGTCGCACTGGTCGTGCTTCGAGAACGTCGGGTTGGGGGCGTTCTGTGCTGCGGAGAGGTCAGAGAGGGTGAGGAAGGTCGAGATCGTCGCGCAGGGGTCCCAGGCGGAGGTGGCGTCGTCTGCCATTGGCAATTGTTCAAGGTGGGCTTTGGGCGGCGCTGGAGGTGGTTGAAGGAAAGTGAGAATTGTCGTCAGTCGTGTACGAATGTGTTGTAATATGGTAGGCGCTCGTTCGTAACGAACCCGGTCTAAGTAGATGAAGCAAGAAAACAAGCGTCAGGAACTGTAACTTTGAGTGCAAAATGAAATTTCCCGGCATCGATAGTCTTCCGCATCCGGGCTGTCCTTGATCATATGTATTATTTGTTCCGAACAAACAACGCGTTCATTTAAATAGCGTCGCGTCGCCACACGCGCGTGTGCGTGTCATGTTCAATTGTAAGGCTGCAGGGAGATTGGGAGGACATGAAGGAGGCCAATTATATCGCGACACGCGAGAGTTATTCTTGGAGGAGAACTTGAATCGTAGATGAGACGCCCGGGGGATTTAATTTCTTGGTGGTTACTTAATTTCCAGAGGGTGGGTGTAGAGGGACTGTCACTAAATCCGCCTCTCACCCGCGATGTTGCAAGGCAGGTGTATTTATTGCATGGATTACGAAAAACTCTAAGAGCTATAGACATTTTAGCCTCCTCCCGAAGACACCCCGACTTTTATTCGTTCAATCCTCGGATTTACTTATAGTAGAATTGTTCTGGAATCTAAAGGCCGGGCGCTTCGCCCTACTCTTCTCCCGAATACCACGCGATTAGACGCCTTCAAGTTCGAAATACGCAAGTTTCGTTGCACCTGCTACCGGGCACTAGGTACCGTCGACGCTTATCGTAGCGCACAAAATATTCTCCCATCCAAACCAGCTGTCCCTCTCCAACACCTCCCTTCCCGCCTCCCGCTGGCACTTTCCATCTACTCAACCCCGCATCGCATCGCATAGATAACATTACGAGACACCTAGCGCACGTAACCCTGACTGATCGACCGCGGCCACGGTGCGCCTGATCACGATCACATCCCTGCCCATCTGGCAGTTGCACGCTAATCTGATCTGATTTCGCTGATCATGATCAGAAGAAGGTCGTCGATGAGATGAGATGAGATGCAAGACTAGTTTACTTGGGAGGGAGGGGCGCGAAATAATTAGCGCGCCGCCGGATGGTGGTGGACGCGTGCAAGATGATCTCTCTATGTAGACTAGGAGTATGTAAAGCGTGTACTGTATGTGGTATGCATACACGACTTTGATTTTTTCATGCTCACTCCATCCTCGACCTTTTCGCCGGGCTATCTATATCATCCGTTGGCCCTCGCCTTCCCTCCTCCTGCCCCTGCCCTCCCTCTCTCGCCTCCGCCCCCATCCCATACCCCGTAACCACCCCCTCCAGCACCGTCCGGCTCACCAGCTCGCGGAGCTCCTCGTCGGGATCGCGTCCCTCCGCCTCGGCGCGCTGCATGATCTCCTGCACGGATGCCATCAACGCCGCTGTAAGCTGCTCCGTGGCGACGTTCTGCGCGTGCTGGGAGGGCATGTGAATGGGGATGGGGGCTGCGTCCCAGGATGCAACAGTGGACGTGGAAGTGGCAGTGGGGTTCGAGCTAGAAGAGTTCGAAGGAAGAGACGTGGAGGTGCTGCTTGTGGTGCTGGCACTGGTGGCGACAGAGTGAGAAGAAGCTAGCCGTGAGCTGTCAATGGACCGCAGATATTCCGCGATTTGAGGGAATTCGTCAGTCAGATGATCTGCAGGCTTCGTGTTGGAAGGATTCAAGAGGAATCAGGAGGGAGGTAGGCGGTGAGTAAATAAAGGAAGGCATGGATAGCCGTATACCCACCGATACGCCTTCGCTGTTCTGATGCCCCACGGCGGCTCCGTGCTGGATGAGCCAGCGGGCAGTCTCGATGTTTTCGACCGTGTAGAGCGGCGTGTCGCCGTCGTTGTCCGTGATGTTCACATTGCCACCTGAATGGAGCACAGTGTATGCGTTTGAGGGTGCAAAAAATAGACAGAAAAATGGAGAGCACGGACCTCGAGACAGCAGGTACTCGAGCACATGGATGTGGCCGTAGGACGCGGCTGCGTGGCTTGGTGAAATCCAGAGGTGAAAATTGCGGGTGTCAGTGAGGACTCGGGGCGTACATTGGGGTGTAGGTGAACTCGTCCGGCACATTGGGCGAGAGGGCTAAATGGAGATTCTGATTATCGATTTGAACGAGCATACTCCGGGACTTGCGAAAACTTGCATTCGTTCTCTATGAGGTGCTGGGAGGGCATCGATGTTAGTGTGCGGAAGGTGGACATGTGGATTAGGCGCACCCTGACTCTATCGAGGTCGCCATCGCCTGCGGCGACCCATATGTTGGCGAGGAGCCTTGCCATGGTGGAAGAAGACGAGCACGCGGATCTGAGGGCGGATCTGGGCGATCGGAGGAGGGGGGGCCCTGATTTGGAATTCATTATGGCATGGGCGGAGAGTGAAACGCAATAAACTAAGACAAGCAAGTGAGACCAGAGCCAGCGAGAGCGGACGACGACGACGCTCTCCCCGTCCACCCCTCCTCCTATTACCACCATGTCCTACCTCCTCCCAGACAACCGCCCCGCCGACAACACCCGCCTCCCAATCCACCAGCACCCCTACGCCTACCCCGCCCAGTCAACCCTGCCAACCCCGACGCAGTCCCCGCCCTTTCTCGCCGATCATCCACCCGCCGTAATGCCAAAGGTCGGCCAGACTCGCTGCTGTAAGTACCCCTGCCTCGCGATCACTCCCCGATCGTCACCATGAACCCCTCTCCGCAGATTGGGCAATGCTCTCCTCCGACCTCCAGTTCATATATCTTGACCCCGTCCTCGCCCACCACCTCGAGGAACAAGCAGAGCTCCTTGTCGGCAAATCGCTCCTCTCCTTTGTCCATCCCGACGAACAGGCGTCGGCCAAGCACGATCTCGGTGGCGTGCTGGAAAGCAGGACACTCCATGGCTCCGTAACGCGGTATCTCTTCCATTTGTGCTTCATCGGTCCGTACTGATAACGCCCTACCACAGTGTGCGCTTCTCGCGCTTGTCCAAGGTCCGCAAGCAGCTTGGCTACGAAGGCCCTCCTCCTGCCTGGCCCGAGGCAGAAAAAATAGCTCTTGACAAGGATTACATGGCCGTTGATATCGTCATAAACTGGGCTGCCGAGGGCCTCGTGCTCTGCTTCATTCACGCGACAACAGACCTAAACCCAAGTGCCGACAACGACGAGTCTCAGAAAACAGAGTGGACAAACTGGTGTGGAACGCCCTTCATGCCTATGGAGCAAATCGAGCTTCTCTACCGCCGTCTCCTCGTGTGCATTCCCCAGACAGGCACCATGTCCAGGGTTTTTCAAATCCTAGCAAATCAGCGAGAGAGGCCTCTCCTCCTCAGCTGGCCTCCTGATTCAGCACAGGGCCCTACCAGCAGGGACTTCGCCAAACTAGTGGAGAACGTCCAAATAGGCACCGGTGTGCCCGGCGGAAACGATGCGAAAACGAGTTGTACACGCAGGTACAAGGCCTTGCAGGACGTGCCACAGGTCTTTGGGGGCGAGGTCGAAAGCATCTTCATACCGCATGGTATGCACACTTTTTTCGCCTCTTGAGTCGCCGTTTCCCGTGAAGATATAATGTACTCACCCCGTTCGGTACAGGGACTATCATTTTTGCCTGCCACAAGGTCAGTTCTGCCCCTCGCAGCAGCAACGCACATCCCAGCGCAACCATGCAGACGCTGGACTACGGTACGGCGGCGTACACCGCTCCAAACCCGCCTTATTACGACCAGGGTGCTTCCTACGCCCTTCCCCCTCTCTCGCCTCAAGCCCAGTCGTACAACAACAATTTTATCCAGCAGCAAGGCCCAGGAGTGCAGGGTCCGTATTCTCCACAACGATGGAGTCAAGGTAACTTCTCTTCTCTCACTTCCTCCACGTTCGCGGCCTCAACTTTCATGGAACGAACAGCCATCCCACCCTCGAACAGTCTGCGAACAAGCGGGTATCCCAGTGGCTCGCCCACTCAGCCCGCCAGCCAGGCATGGCCACCCGGGCCGCCTCCTCCGTCGAATTACATTGAGACAGGAGGAGCTGGCGCGCCCGCTTTCAACCGACCACTTTCGCCTGCGAGTTACAATGGCTACGCGACGACACCGACGAGCAGCACCGCAGGAGCGTCGCCCATCTCGGATGTCGTGCCGCCGCCGCGCCGCCGGATCAGCCCTGGCTCTGCCCGCGACGGGGCTGGCCCCATTCGTACGTCGGGAAACAGACCCACAGGAGTGCAGAAGTGCTCCAGTTGCAAGGCGACGTCGAGCCCCGAGTGGCGAAAGGGGCCGAGTGGGAAGAAGGAGCTGTGCAATGCGTGCGTGTCTTCTTTTTCCGGAGCAGTTTCGTGAATATATGCTAATGCCAGCTTCGCTTTTCTCTTGTTGTGCAGGTGTGGCCTACGATACGCACGTTCGCGTGCTAAAAAAGAAGGGACGAATACTACCCAGCAGCGGCGACGCAAAGAAAAGGCTGCCGTGAAGCACGAGTCGCCTGCACCACCCTCCGCAACCTCTGCGTCGGCGCCTTATTCAGCCCCAACAGCTCTCAGGCGCCCCTATGACGCCTCCTTCTCCACCGCGTCCTCCGCGGGGTCAGCCTCAGGTAGCGACGTTTACAACCACTCTGGCCACCCCGTGCTAGACCACATTACCCCCTCCCCATCTCCTCCAGCACCGCCAAATATGAGTTTTGTCCACTATGCACCCGGCGGCCAGGACGCGGCGAGTGCCCCTCGTGCGCAGACGCAATATGCTGGCGCGAGCGCCTCGAACTACTATCCGTCGCCGCTCTCGGCCCACCCGCACCAGCCCAGCATCCACCATCACCAACAGCAGCAACAACCACAGCAGACCCAACACCAACAGCCCGCGCAGCTACCCCCACTCGGTCAGCTCTCGTCATACGCAGGGCGACTATCGCCGCTCGTCGCGGGGGCAAGCTCCTCCCTGGCCACGACGACGCTGGCTCCGGCGTCGTACGAGCGGGACCGCGAGCGTGAGTTCCGGGAGCTGCCGCCGACGCCGCTCTCAGCTGAGCCGCGGCACAACAGGCGGTCGATCCTGACGCACCAGTGATAATCGATTCAACGATAATCGGGATCCGCGCCGTCAGTCAACGTTTCGAACAAGCGCAACCACGACCACCACAACGCAACGACCACGCATAAAACGCATTTTCTGTCTCCACAACCGAGTCCCTTTGCCCAACTAAAGCCCACCAATTGAAACGAGCGTGGCCATGCTCATAAGAGCATGCATTCGACGTTGACGTTGTACCCGGACGATGGCCCTGTTAAATCATTCAAGCTCACGGCAAACACTGTGCATAATTATTCCCTTTTCTCTCTCTCTCGCTCGAATTCGTTCCCTGCAGCTTCCAGACCAGTCACCAGACCGCATATCACCGTTTCGAACCACGAACTCTTTCTTTGTGTGTAACCCTGCCTCGCATCGTCTCCCTCCGCCCCTCGCTCGCTCCCTCACTTGGCGTTTCCTCCCTCCTCTTCCTCCTACGCACCCTCCTTTGTTGCCTCACCACTTAGTTGTAGCTAATCCCCCGTCCTAATACTCTTCGCTGTTTCTGGTTCGGGATGGACGATACACTCATCATCAGCATCATAGCCATAGCATCATCATTCAGCATTCATCCATTCACTATCCTACGACCCCCTCGCGCTCCTGTAGGAACGCCGCCTTAATGGTATTGGTAGCCCAGTCGAGGCCAGGTATTAGTAACGGTTAAAACTTTCCCTTTCTCCCTCCTTTCTCGTTTCTCGTTTCTTCTTGTCGTCTTCTTGTATCCCTGCCATCAAATATCGTTTTGTACGTACCATGCATAAGTAAGTAGGTAAAATAGTTATAGGCTTGTAGCCCTTTTGTGTCCAATTTCTTCGCTCTAGGCCTTTGGCATCGGAGTGTTACTCTTGACTCGGACTCTAATTAGGAAACAGTACAGTCTACTACGGAGTCTTCTTCCTCTTTCGCTTTCCCCTTTGTCGATGTCCTGCCCTTGCACACGTTTCGGCGTCCTCGCCGCTTCACCCCTCATTAGCGCTTTAGACTTTTGTTGGTATCATTATAGCATTCGACCCTTCAGTAACAACACATACACAGTAATTCGTTGTTCGGTAGTTCCACCCTTCTGGACTGATTGAATGTAATGCAAACGGGACTCCCCTCCTCCGCGTTTTTGCTCGCGTGAGTGCCTTCGTTGGAAATTTCACAACTCCGACGATGATGTCTCGAACATGAAGCCAAGTTTCAGGCGTGAAGCTTCCAAACCCCAAGGTTCTAGTACATTCCAGCGTCAAGGTAAAACTCGCGTAGTCACTCCATTCTGCGCTCTCCATTGGTCAACATCCACCCCCTGCTGAGGAGTCAGTTCCCTTTCATCAATTAAAGTCCTAAGGGTCTCTGAAGTGTCACATTCATGAAAGATTTAGAGTAGGACATCCCCGGATACGCGCATCCTCGCAGACAGCGGTCTACCGTGTCTCAGAGAGGAGAGCCTTCCGAACTGCGTGAAGTGTTCGAGCTGGCTTCAAGTTTCAACCTGAGGGTGAAGTCGGGCTTCGGAAGGCGTCTCCAAGTCGCCGGAGCCAAGTCGCCGGAGCCAAGTTAGCTTGGTGGACCTACAGGACATGATGCATGACGTCATGCGGGTTAGGGGCGTCACACAGCCACGAGGGATTCAACCAGTCGTGTGCAGATGGATACTGGAAGCGCAAGAACGAAGTTCAATTAGACAGCGATACAAAGGAGATCGTGATACGCATATGCACTCCAAGAGAAGTGCATTCTTCACAGTCTGAGCAAGTCCAAGGAATTAGGAGAACATCAGGATTGAGAACCAAGAGACAAGGGGAAAGCGAATGGAGGATCAGTCGGTGAAGTACGAGAAATGGTGCTCCTCTTCATGTCTGAAGGAACGAGCCGAGAGAAAAATCGACGTTGGATTTGTTGACGAAGAGCGTAGGTTGGAGAAGCCCGAGTCTAGCGAACGCGCCACGTGCAGCCCGTCACAAGTCGCACTGCAGTATGGTCGTCCAAGAGGTCACTGAAGTCAAGAACGCAGTCCTGGTCATCTCTGGCTCTTAATTCTAGCCGGGACTTTCTTCGCTGCCTGAACTCCGAGTTCGTCGTTTCTCGTTTCGTCAAGATCAGGAAAGACGGCTTCGATCTCCGATGCGAGGTTATGCAATTCCACGAAAAACGCGGCTGCGTCGGATTTATCGTTGAGCCTGAAGCTCTTGTGGATGATATAGACCTAGCTCAAATCAACAGATTGACGGAAAAGAATTGAAAAGTTATATCCACCTCATCGGTCTCAGAATCTGTTTTCATCACTATATGTCTGTGAGCTACCATGCCAGGAGCCAGGTATATGGCGACAACAAAAAAGTTATTGCGCCTGTTAGATTTTAGCAGATAATGGCCAACACGGGCATATGCGATTGCCTGGCTAAGCATGGAAAAGCGATTCTTCAAGTTTAAGCTTCTATGGCAGTAAATATGACCTATGACGAAAGGCAGCCGGAGTGGTCGGAAACAAACGGCAAAGTCACTGATTGGTGCATCTTGACGAGATTCAGGGTACACATCGTCGCAGGAAACGAATGACGGAAATCGAAAGGGCATATCTCTGAAAGCAAAAATCAGGCGGAAAAGACATCATTCCGCTGCAGACCACTTACTCAACAAGTTCCATATGGTCGTGGGAGATTGTGTCCATGCAAAAAGCTGAGAGGAGGAAGCTGCGCTTCAGTAGAGACGTAGTTGATGGTGCCAGGTACTGGAAGTAATCTGGGAAGTACTCTATCAAGCGGTTGAACGAAATCAGTTCGTCCGTATTCTTCACTTTTGCCTGGTCCTCCGTCTCGGTCTTCCGGAAATAACACCTCGAAAAGAATGGCTCGCTGCGCTTGAAGAGAGGGTATTCTGGATCGTCATCCCCACACTGACAGGAGGGTTACCGAGTCGTTGAAAAAACGGAAGGAGACAGCGCACGTCGTAGGATCGCATGGCTGTTAAACGAGCTTCAAGTTGCTGTAATTCTGGCGGTTTTTCGTCATCATTTTCCAAGAAGATACCACCATTTGACTCCACGTCGCGCTGCGCAAAGCACGCCAGGGTTGAAACCTTGAGTAGTAAATGATGGCGAATCGTGTTTCGATGATGAACATGTCGTTCTCCGAGTCCGGCACCTACGAAACCACTCAGGATGACATTTCTGCACACAATTAAAACAAGCAGGCGACTTACTTGGTGGAATCATGATCACAACGAGACTGTGCCTTTGAAGGTCGCGTAGCTGAATGCCTGTTGAAGTCCAACTCAACTCAACCTCGTTGAACACACGACGCCGACCTCACGGCCACGTGACACACCAATTATGATCTCATCACTGATGGCGGCCTCGACTCGTAACAAACCACCATCCGACTCAAAACCCCTTCTTTCAAACCTAACAGCTGTGGCTAATGGCCTCACCAGAAACACGCGAAACTTCCAACAAGAATGATCCTGCCCCAAGTGGTGCCTCAGATCCTGAGGCACAGGAATCAAGGGAGCCAGAGGGAGCCAGAAAGTAAGTGCACATGTGGATCGTCTATCGTAAATGTGCACTCAGGCGATGATAGATCAACCCAGTCGGCACGAGTTGTACTTTCCTCTGTTAACGGAGGAGATCCTGAAACCGACGAAGAGGAGGATGGCCCAGAGGAAAATCTCGATGACGGGGATTTCTTGAGCGACTTTCCTGATGAGACAGAGGTGGGTAAGCTTCTTTGACAGCGAACCATTCATGGCACTATCTGACACGCCTATTTTATTCTTCTTAGGAACTGGAGCTCTTACATTCGCGCATCGGATCGCTCGCGGGTCTGCGACTCTCCCGCTTCGCGGGCCACCTAAAGAAACTGTGCTTGCGCCAGAACTTCATATCACATCTCGACCCAGAGGTGTTTCATCAATTGACGAAGTTAGAGGAGCTGGATCTGTATGACAACAAGATTAAAGGCGTCGGAGAGGCACTCGATAACCTGTCAGCTCTCAGGTTCGTCTAGGCGCCTTTTTTTTTAATAGGTACCTTACGCACATGGATGATATCAGCGTTCTCGATCTATCTTTCAACCTCTTACGATCCGTACCAGACCGCCTCGAGTTCTTGACCTCTCTCGACACCATATACTTCGTGCAGAACAAGATCTCCAAAATATCCGGATTCACTTCATGTTCTACACTTCGAAGTCTCGAGCTTGGCGGAAATCGCATACGGGTAGGTCTGTTCTTTCGTTCCTCGAATGATTTATTGACTTGCTCTAGACGATTGAAAATCTAGACGACCTCGTCAATCTGGAAGAGTTGTGGCTAGGAAAGAACAAAATTGCTAAACTTGAGGTTCGTGTCACCCGCATCTTTTCACTATCGAGACTCAATGCAACCACAGGGTCTAGAAAACCTGAAGAAATTGAAGATACTTTCATTGCAGTCTAACAGAATCACAAAACTGGAAGGTTTGCAGGAGCTTCGTGACCTTGATCAGCTATATCTCAGTCACAACGGCATCAAACGACTGGAGGGTCTAGAAAACAATGTGTGGGACGGTATTTCCTCCGAGCCGCCTTTGTTCTGATGCTCGATCCCAGGTGCAACTAACGACCCTCGACGTCGGCAGCAACTTTATCCCAGCAATAGAGAATCTTTCACACCTGATGAAACTTGAGGAACTTTGGGTAGGTTGTGTCAATCCTCTTTGATGCCCCCGTGTCACAATGTACAGATGAATGGAAATCAAATACCCGACCTCCATGCCCTTGAATCCGAATTGAAACCAATTTCGACACTGCAAACCCTCTATCTTGAAGCAAATCCCTGCCAAACGAACGATATGACAGGGTACAGGCGGAAGATTATGCTAGCATTGCCTCAGCTGAAGCAGATAGACGCCCTGTGAGCTATTTTCAACATCCTGCCCAACCGCTGCTGACCATGTCACAATCTAAGGTACACAAGGGCAGCTGCTCCATAATCCCCGTATTCTTCCACACTTTTGTGTTGTTGTTGGCTTGGTGTAATCTATTACTCGATGCATAATTCTGAATTCGTGTCATGGTATTGGGTCGTAGAAACGAAAGCATAAAAGAAGCTAACGTGACTGAAGATGCCGAGGCACTATTAAAGGCAAACAGCAGTTATTCCTGCAATCGCTACTACCAGGATGCTAAATGCAGAGCGTGCGACGAAGGATGTTGCACCGCTCGTCGAGCTTGTCGGTGTAGCGGTGGACGTAGCACTTGCGGATGTAGCACTGGGCAAAGCAAGCGAGCTGCTCTCTGGGTCTATCGTAGCTAAAGGTAGAAGGGCTCCGCTGTAGGTCGTCGTATAGGTCGTGAAGCTGGTCGAAAACGAAGGAATTTGCGGGTTACCTCCAACGGCCAGGAGACGCGCGTCCTCCGCCACTTCGACACACGATCCGCGCGCGTTTGGAATATCCAAAGAACAAGACCTGTCGAAGCCGACATTGACGATTTGACCACCGACAGCAGCGGTAATACTGACCGGACGCGAGGCTTTATCCTGCGTCGCGCCTTGCTGGAAGGTGACTGTCTCGCATTTCTATAAGCTATAACGGACGATGCCCGATAGATTGAAGGAACAAGGACTGACAGCCAAAAGTGACAGGTGCGTCCAGGATCGTCCGCGTCTCTTGTGATCCGTGAAGAACTATCCGGCTCTGAACCTCCTCCATTGCGTAACGCGTCATGCTATTTTCTCCTGGTCCAATAGGGGAGATGATTGCTCAATAGACCCGGCAGGACGGGGGTCAGGAGTGCGAGGAAGTCTCTGAACCTGGTAGAGGGTTACGGCAGCTCCCTTGGCTATGTAAATTGGGCCCTTCAGTGGGGAGGTCGCAAAATAAAAGATGACCACCGCTCACCAAGGTGAATGCAAAGTGGTAGAGTAAGTAATCCAGAGGTGAAGGACTGGCTGAACATGACCCGTGATGCGTTGACGATTGGTTGACGATTGATCCTGCCAAATTGTAAGCAGTGCCAGGTGAATAGAGCACAACGTTCCGACAATTCTCGGTAGCGTTCTTTTAAACCACTGTCCAGCCGAGCTCGGGAAGTCCCAGGATCGGTGACGTACATAGAGTATACGCGGTCTCTCTCGTCACATGGGTCGCAAATATGGGAATGTGGCAATGCGCCACACCGCCTCGTCCGGACCGCAGTTTCCGACTCTTCCACCTATATCTACACCCTCTTCACAACAGATGACATCAGTATCAAGGGCCCCAATGGGCAGATTTGCAAGTCAGGGTTAACACTCATCGAGTCAAGCTTACACCCCTGCTTTTTAACATGCGCAATGGTGAATTTCATGCATATGACGGACTCGGACTCGGATGAAGATAATCGGACAATGTTTCACCTACTTTCAATTGGCGTTGCACTTTGTCGGGCAATGCCTATGTCATTTTTTACAGACATGTCGTATTTTGAGACTCGTCCTACAGCTAAAGCTTTCCATGACCAGCAAAGCTCTATGTACATGAACTGCTCTAAATGCAATAAATACCGAGCATGATGTGTTGTGATTGTGGGGCGGCAATACCTAAATACACTAGTTGAAAGCAAAGATGACTAGTCAGTCGGCGACTCGGACGACATGGGGTTCAAAAACTGACCAAACTCTACGGCAGCCATCTCTCATAACTGTTCCATCAGCAAAGACCGAGAAGTGAGAAGGATGTTGTTCCAATGTGAAGAAGCCCACACAAGGCAGCGAGGTATGACACACACTTCTGCGAGTTGGTAAGTCTACCTTTGACGGCCGAGACACTTCACTCACCGAAGGTAGCGTGAATAGCGTCCAAAACTGTTATGATTCATCTTATTGCGCTTAGTTTGCACCTATTTCTTTTCCTTGTTGTTACCTCATTCCAGACTGTGCTTGCTGCGCCGTAGTACCACGC